GCATACTGCTGAGCTGAACTCGGCGCGCCAGCAGGAGACGGCAGCTTCTGAGGCCAAATATCGTGCGCTAGCGAACTCCAGCCCGCAGATCGTTTTTGTTGTTTCGGATCGGCGGGGCTTGACGTTCTGCAACTCCCAATGGACTGCTTTTTCGGGCCAGACCGAAATCCAGGCCCTGGGCAACGGCTTCCTAGAGCACGTGCATCCTGATGATGTCATCAAGTGTAAGCTTCCTGAATTGGATGAGGACGGAGTCGCCAATGTTCCCACTTCCATGCCAGCAGACCATGGGAGAACCGAATCTAACTCATCTGATGCTTCGTCGGAAACTGAGAGGACAATCACTAGTCCTGGTGGATCGACGCCTGATCGTATGGATATGCCCCAAGCCAAGTTGTCGAAACTTGCAAGCACCGGCATATTGAGAGTCGCCAAGGATGCGCACGGGCGAGCGTCTTACTCTACCGAAGTTAGACTACGCAACAAGGACGGCGAATACAGGTGGCATCTTGTCAGGATCCTATTAGAGAAGTCGCTCTCTGAAGACGGTGACGAAGAGACTTGGTATGGCACAGCGACAGACATCAACGACCACAAGCTGCTCGAGCAAACATTAAAGGAGACTATGGACGCAAAGTCCAAGTTCTTGAGTAACATGTCTCACGAGATCCGGACGCCCTTGAATGGTATCTCTGGCATGGTCAACTTCTTGCTAGATAGCACGCTCAACTCCGAACAGCTAGAGCACGTCAACATTATCAAAGCCAGTACCGATAGTCTGCTTAATCTTATCAACGACATCCTTGATCTGTCAAAAGTCGAAGCAGGCATGATCAAGCTGTCCATGGAATGGCTTCATCTGCCGTCGCTTCTCGAGGAGGTCAATGATTTGAACATGGGCCTGGCCATACAGAAAGGACTTGAACTCAATTACCTCGTGGATGAAGGAGTACCAGCAGAAGTCAAAGGTGACAAGTTCCGCATCAGACAAGTCCTTCTCAATGTGGTTGGCAATGCGATCAAATTCACTGAGCATGGAGAAATCTTTATCCGATGCAAGCTGCAACCACCCGATCGTTCTCGTCCCCTACGAGATAACGAGACTATGATCCGGTTCGAGGTTGTAGACACTGGCCAAGGTTTCACTGATGCTGAGGCTAAGTATCTCTTCAAGCGATTCAGTCAGATTGATGCCAGCAGCACCAGGCAACATGGTGGAACTGGTCTTGGATTGGCTATTTCTATGCAATTCGTGGAACTCCATGGAGGTAGAATGGATGCTCGCAGTGCACCTGGCAAGGGCTCAACATTCTTCTTCACAATCAAATTTGGGCTCCCAACGGCTGATGACTACCCTAAGCCCCAGGTATCTACCCCAGGCACACCAGCCTTTGAGACTCCGCTCTCGATGCCGCCGGTGCCTTCACTTCCGCCCCAGCCCTCTGCTCTCCAGAAGTTTGTTCAGTCGCAGAACCCCGGGCATGCACAAATCAAGCGCGTGTCAAGTGTGTCTTCTGAGAAGAGTGAATCTCCCAGATCTCCAGCGCCCAGCCTGTCAGCTTCTGAGCGATCGCGTGACTCGCCCTCTCTCTCGTCTGGGAGCTCGGACCATTCATTGACAAGCGCCGCACTTACAGGACAGTCAAGCTTGCGTTCGGAAAGGTCGTCTGCATCTTCTTATCTGAAGGAAACCAGTCCTGCCCCGGATCCGGACATGAAACTAGCTCTGCCTCCCAAGCGAACCGACAGCGACTCGCAAGCTCCCAAACCCGACTCTTCGACGTCTGTTGAATCGGATCAGACTCTCCGCGCGTCGTCACCGCATCGCAGTCTTTCACCACTTGGTAGCGCCTTGCAACCTCCCATGTATTCCATCTTGGTGGTCTGCCCACTAGAGCATAGCAGAGAGGCGACGATTCGACACATCAAGAACACACTTCCTCAAGGGATACCCCACCAGGTGACAGGCCAGGCTAGCGTGATTGAGGCGCAGAAGATGATGGGAGGTGACAATCCGGTGTTGTTCACCCATGTTGTACTTGTGTTACATGACACTGCCGAGGTACACGCCATCGTAGATCAGATATTCAGCTCCATGGCGTACGGTAACACATCTGTCGTCGTGGTCTCGGATCCATCCCAGAAGAAAGAGCTCATCAAGGAAGCACCAGTATATGATTACGAGCAGCTTCATCTGGATCGACGCTTGCAGTTCATCTACCGGCCGCTCAAGCCGTCAAAGTTTGCCATTATATTTGACCCACAGAAGGAGCGTGAGTCGAGCACGGATCGCAACCAAGACAGCGCACAGCAGGTTGTGGTCAGCCAAAAACTCGTGTTTGAAGAACTCAAGCGTCGGGTAGGCGGCAAGAATCATAAGGTCTTGCTGGTGGAAGACAATAAGATCAACCAAACGGTAAGCTTTCGTTCTATGATTATTGTGTATTGGTCTATACTAACTGCTCATAGGTGATCTTGAAGTTTCTTGCCAGGATAGAGATTGAAACCGAGACAGTACAGGACGGTGTTCAAGCCACCGAAACCATCTTTTCCAAGCCGCCAGGTTATTACTCAATTGTTCTTGTAAGTAGTAATACCGACCTCTTCTGTTGCATGCTAACGTTGATCAGTGTGATCTACACATGCCCAACAAAGATGGGTACCAGGCTTGCAAAGAGATCCGGCGATGGGAGAAGAAACATGGCTACCGTCGCCACCCAATCATCGCACTCTCAGCCAACGTCCTGGGTGATGTATACGCAAAGTGTGTAGAAGCGGGCTTCAATTCGTATGTGACGAAACCTGTAGAGTTCAAGGAGCTCTCTCTTGCCATGACCAAATTCCTGGATCCGGCCGACCCCTCGAAACAGCCTGCCCTCATGAAGAAGAAGTAAGGGCGGCTGTGCTTTACTTTCACGTACACGAACATACATTGTATCGAGGCACAGTACTCGATTTTAGTCCTACCTGCATCAGCGAACGGCGCCGTTGGAGAAAACGGCATGTGCTACTAGGCACATGGGACGTGACATGGGTCGACGTCCTACTACCAACGCACTAGAGGTGCGCTTTCCTCGTCTGGATGTTGTTCGCATTTTATATCCCAAGTTTGAATGTGCATTTGGATTGGTTAATGGACGTAATGGTTTCTTGCGGATGCATGAGCATTTGACGGCGTATTATTGCTTGGGAGCGCAGCTGGTGGAGAATCATACCCCTTGGGATAGTCGGTTGGGCGGTATTATGACGGCATTTTCTGCCATGGGATAGCAAGAGGGGGATACCAACAGGCGCTTTATATATACCAAGGTATGGGTAGAGATGATGACGCGAGTGCAGCCCTACGGATGAGCGCGAACTTGTACGATAGAGACGATGTCATGGAGATGAGAATATATTTTAAGATCAACAATGGTAGCTCAACCCTCGTGGCCTGCTTTGGTGTTTACTGTGTGTGCGAATGATATGTATAGGGCCGAAGCGTTCCACGCGACCAACATGCATACGCTAAACATGCATGTCCGTGTCAAGAAACGTCTTCTCCACCCCCCAAACCCACGATGCAAACATCACCACTTGCTCCACTGTTTGTCGTCTCTGCGCTCATTGGCTGGTCTGGAGTGCATCTGACATCTCCATGGCGCTGATTGGTGGATATGTACAGGGGCTGGTGTTGTCGTCATTGTCGGCCTGAGCTTCCTCATTACCCAAAGTCCGAAGCACCCCTCTGACACCAGTCGCGCGCTGACGCTGTGTCTTCCTTTTATCGCTCCCCCGAGTCGCACTCTTTGTATCACGGTGCTTGGTTCTGTATATCCTCAGCATGGCTTCTGCGACCGGAATTCCGCCAAATGTCGCTGTGGCGCGCGGCCAGAGCGAAGAAGAGCCTCTTCTAGGCAGAAGAGGAGATGCCAGCCAACCACATGGACAGCCGCTCTATCACAACCTGTGGATCGGTACGTGCCGAGAATCTGCGCGAACACTGTGTACCAAGAGGGAAATTGCTAACAGACTGACAGGCACTGCTCCCATCGCGCAAGCAGGCATCTGGATCGTAAGCGCACCTCGGCGACACGTCGAATGCTACAACAAACACTGACCTACCAACAGCTAGCAGCCATAATCTGGGGAGCCATCTTCTCCAACAAACTCATCTTCTTCTCCGCACACCCAGTAAGCCCTCCCTTCTGTCTACACGTCTCAAAACACCAAGCTAACCGCGCAGCTCCTCAACTCCGTAAGCCACAACACTACCCTAGTCACCCCCTCCCGACAACCGTATCATTGATACCCCCAATAGGCCGGCTTCCTCCTCGCGATCCAAGCCGCTCTCGTCCTCCAACCCACGCACACGCCCGAGCAGAAGCGCTCCGGCACCATTGCCCACTTCCTCTTCCACGCCGTGGGCGCATCGGCGCTAACAGCCGGACTCATCATCATCGAGATGAACAAAGCGGGCCCCGGCCATGAACACTTTGCGTCTGCGCACGCCCGTCTCGGTCTTACGTTTTACATTCTCGTCTACATTCAGGCTATGGTCGGCTTCACGCAGTACTATGTCCCGCAGCTATATGGTAGCGTGGATAATGCAAAGAGCGTGTACAAGTACCATAGGATGGCGGGTTATATCATTGCCGTCTTGGGACTTGCGACCATTTGCGCGGCTACGTGGACGACGTATAATTTGAATGTGGGGGGTATTCAGCATTGGGCTGTTATTGTTGCTAGTGTGTTGGTGTTGGTGGGTGTTGTGCCGAGGATTAGGCTGAGCAAGTTTGGGATTAAGACGGACGAGGGCGAGGTGAGGTTGCAGTAGGTGACGGACGGGTTATGAATGAGCTATGGTTGGGGTGAATCATGTTATGATCTATATGCACGAAAAGGTCAGTTTGCAGATATGACATGGATATGGTTGGGGTCTTTGGACATGGCGTTGCATTGGAAGGCGTGTCGGTAAATGTACTCTCTTCTACATTCTCCACTTCCCATCATTTCTCCTTCTACCAACCATTCTCTATGATCTTCTCCTCTAGAATGCCCAAAGCAAGACCGTTGAATTCGTTCAAGAGGACCTTGACTTCAGGCTTCTTGATTAAGCCCATGTGTGCGCTAATCGTCGCACTGACAATGTCGCGCAGGCCCTTGTCGTCATCGAGAGTGGTGGAGAATACATGGTGAGCGGCGACAGAGAACTTGTCGCTGTCCCAGAAGTGCTGGCAAGCCCTGTGGAATTTCTCGATGACCAGGTCCTTGAGTCCGACAACGTCATATTTGTCTGCAATCTCGTACATCTCGGAGTGGAGGAGGAGTTGATCGGCCTTGCCGTTGATTGAAGACAACGGAAGAGCTGAAGGGTTGCATTCTTCGCAGTTGAAGTTGGAACACGTGTAAAGATGAGACCCCGTCTTACAGTCCTTGTTGTTACTGCAAGTATGATGTGGACAAATGTGCGGTTTAGTGCAGGCTCTATTGGGATGGCTGCATGTGTGGGGAAAGTCGTAGTTGTACGGTTGCGAATTGGCATTGTCCAGTGGGCGAGACTCTTTGGCAGCCTGTTTGAACGCAGACAAAGTTACGCCTGCCCAACAATTGTTGTCAGGTAGCAACGGTTTATATTCGCCTCCATATAGGTAGTGAATTAAGAGTCTGACGGTGTCTGGCTCGTCATCAGGAAGATTGATGATACCACTCTCTGATTCCTGGGTAACCTCTCAGCTTCTGGTTCTCTCACCTTGCTTCAAATGCTCACCTTTCCGCCAAACTTCAGGTTGCGGGCAAAGAACTCGGCGCGCTCGCACACAATGGCTTTGTGGACCTTGTACGTGTCGTTATTACAAATGATGGTAAGATCAGAGTATGCGCCAGATTTGAGGACGCTGGAAGCGAGTCAGTGTGACGGCGTCATAGTAACGAGAGAGAATGGTGCAATGTTGAGACTGAACATGCCTTTTAAGTGAAGCAAAAAGTTGTATCTCAGCAGCCTCTGCCATTTCTTTGATTGTTCGTAATTGCGTTGCTGGATGAGGATGCAACACTAGAATAGTGAAAGATGGTTGCAAGTGTTGAGTATAGAGGTAATAGATTGATTCTACGGATGATTTGGCTGTATAGGCAGTACACTAGTGGTTGTGGCAGGTACCAATAACAGCATGACATGGCTCTTCCTTCAGCAGGAAGTATGCAGCGGAACACGATTCCCTGGAAGCGGCTTTTGGCGCGCTTACGAGACGAATGAAACGAAAGGTCCTTCAGTCAACTCCGAACAAAACGTACACTGACGTTCAAGGGAGCTTCAGCCCAGTGACAATCTTGATTGTATGCTAAATCCAGTATATCTATCAAGTCAAAGTCATAGTATCCTAATGCTAATTCTTATAGAGTTGTATCAAGGCGAGATTGGGCTGTTGATACGCAATTGCTGATCTGAATTATCCTCTAAACCTGCAGGGGATATAACCGAACTAATGATCATTAAACTACAACCTCGCCTCAACTGGCGCTCCTTGCGACTGAGGCTCCTGCGTCTGCCCTTGTCCCTTCTGCCGTATCGCCTCCTCAAAGATTTGCATAAACCTCCAAACATCGTTGAAAGTGTTGTACATTGGCACAGGCGCAACTCGAATGATACCAGGTTTCCTCTTGTCGCAGATAACACCGCCTTCTACCAGCGCTGCGCTCGCATCGTCAAAAACGTCTTCCGGGAGCAGAACACTTAGTTGTGCGCCACGGAATCGAGGATCTGTGGGTGTAATGATTTGAAAGGGGAAAGCGCCGTCCTTGATGTTACGTGCGGCGATCTGAGAGAGCAGGTGCTCAGCATATGCCGTCAAGAGCAGGGATCGTGACCGTAGGTCGGTCATGGAAGTCTTCTCGAAGACGCTGAGCGAGCCAGCTAGGCATGTGAGGTCGACGATCGATGGGTTTGAACATTGGAAACCTTGCGCGCCGGGTGTAGGAACGAACTTGTTGTCCATGAGGAAGCGTGATGACTTGTCGTGGCCGTACCAGCCCTTCAGTCCCTTGTAGTGGTCGTTGTTGCCGTGCTTCTCGTGGATGAAAGCACCTGCGATGGAACCGGCACCGGCGTTCATGTACTTGTATGTGCACCAGCAGGCGAAGTCGACATCCCAGTCGTGGAGCTTCAGCTCAGCGTTGCCAGCAGCGTGTGCTAAATCCCATCCGATGGTGATGTTGTGCTTCCGTGCATGTGCGGTAATGGTTGGGATGTCGAGTAGCTGGCCGCTGTAGTATTGGATACCAGGTAGCATGATCAGCGCCAGCTCGTCCACGTTCTCGTCAATAAGCCTGAGGATGTTCTTTGTAGTCATAATGTGTCCGTCATCCGGTTCAACCAACAGCATTGACTTCTTGGGGTCGAGGCCATGCCATTCTATTTGCGATTCGATTGCATACCAGTCGCTAGGAAATGGTCGCCACTCGCACATAATCTTGTGCTTCTTCTCCGTAGGCTTGTAGAATGCAGCCATCATCAGATGCAAGTTGATGGTCAGTGTGTTCATGGCAACGATTTCTGAAGGTGAGGCGCCGACGATGTCAGCCATTCTCTTTGAGCATCCCGCAGCCATGTCTTGGTATGGGGTAAGTGGCGAGTCCTCGAGAGCGGTAAAATGACCACCGACGGCGATGGATCCCCATGTCTTCAGATATGCGTTCAGGTGCTCGCCAACGGCTTTTGGCTGTAGGCCCAACGAGTTACCGCAAAAGTAGATGGCCTCGTCATCGGGTGTTGATGCTGGATTGGCGGTTTGTGCGTCATCTTTTAGGGTTTTCCGCTTGAGTTGCGCCTTGCTAGGAACAACAAATTCTGGTCGGAATGTTTTGGGGATCTCTGTGCTTTGGTCGAGAGAGTGCGCGAATTCTAACGATTCGGTATTTGCTGGCCACTGTGGCTTTTGGCCCTGTCGTAGCTGCTTGATTGCTGCGGCGGCGTCCATGGCGATGTATTGATGGTAAGGGTATTTGTCTTGGAGAATGCCAACAGAGCTGTAATGTTATGTATGAATTCGAGAGTACAGTCAGGCAGACGGCATCAGACTATATATGCATCTCGATCCGACGATTACGTCTCGAAGTAAGAGCCTTTGAGGCTTGCAGCAAACTAAGCTTGCACCTTCTCAATTGGGGTCGCGGACATTGTTCCGACATCGCTTCCGTCGTTCCGGGTTCCGACAAGCATCCGAACGCGACCGTGATTGCGCGTGGACCTATCTGTTCAGTGCAATAAAGCAGGAGTTCGCCGCTTCAATGCAGGACGTATCCTTCCGATACTCTTGTGCTACAATACTGTCGCTACTATTTCCGCAATGAGTCCCCATAAGATTCCCGTGCTCCCTTCGCCCGCCGCACTCCCTTATTACGGCATCTCAAAGAACGGCTTCTTGCCTGCCGAGTCACCATTGACTCGCTTACCGCATACCTACTATCAACCATGGGAAAAGATCATTGAGCAAATCCCAATACTCGTCGAGACACAACAAATACGGCAATGGGTTGACGAGTTGCCGGTTCTAGACACATCACATCTTTCTAGTGAGGCGGAATGGCAGAGAGCTCATTCAATGCTGGCCGTCATAGCTCAAGGTTACATATGGGCTGGTCCTGAGCCATCAGAGGTATGCCAGCATCAGCCCGGAATTGTTAAGACGTGAAGCACTAACAACAAACGTAGCGACTACCTCCAGCCATCAGTGTACCATTCCTGCGGACTGCTGAGTACCTTGAGGTGCATCCGGTGGCCACATACGCAGCTCTAAATCTATGGAATTGGACACCATTGAGCGAGAACGCCGACTTGACACAACCGGAAAACATGGTGGCGTTGCACACAGTGAGTGGTAGTGATGATGAATCGTGGTTCTTCATCATATCAAACGCCATGGAGGCAAGAGCAGGCCCACTCATCGAGGCCATGCTGGGCGCAGTCGAAGCAGTAGAGACCAACGATGTCACAACAATCATACACGCGCTGCAATACTTCCGACAGGGAATGCAAAGCATCGGCCAGCTGCTGGAACGTATGGATGAGCGGTGTGACCCACAAATGTTTTATCACACCATTCGACCCTTCTTGGCTGGCAGCATGAACATGGCCACTGCCGGTCTGCCCAACGGTGTCTTCTATGACGAGGGCAATGGAAACGGCACGTGGCGCGCATATCGGGGCGGATCCAATGGTCAGTCGTCATTGCTACAGTTTTTCGACGCGGTTCTTTCAGTCGACCATTCCCGGAGCGGCGGCTTTCACGCGGAAATGCGTGGCTACATGCCTGGACCCCACGCCCGCTTCCTTGACGACGTCGCCGCGATCGCAAACATCCGAAGCTATGTTAACAGTCATGGAGACAACGTTGAGCTCCTGACAGCATTCAACGAAGCAGTCGCAGCACTCAGCGGATTCCGCGACAAGCACATCGCTCTGGTGACCAGGTACATTATCATACCGAGTCGGATGGGAAAGCCAACGACTGGCCCTAAAAGAAGAGATCTCGCTTCCGCCTCGACCGAACTAGCTACCGGGAAGCCAAAAACGCAAGAATTGGTAGGGACAGGAGGTACTAAGTTGATACCATTCCTACGAACTTCGAGAGACGAGACGAGCGAAACGAAAGTCGTGCATTGAAAGGTGTTGAGAAAGAACTTTTAGAAAGATACCCGTGATGCTAAGGCATCCCTTCGGAGCCTATGGGAAGAAGTCGCTACCTGTCTGTTGATCGTGTATGGGAAACAGGGGTATGTCGGCAACAGATACGCCATCGAGATTGTGAGTGCCTGGTTGGAGGAAGTCTTGGAGACCTTGGTCGTTCTCGCTCGGCCATGGCATGGCAAAGAAGTCGGCGTCGTATATAGTCCAATCGAGTGGCGCTGCGGAGGACACATGGCGCTGAATAGAATCTCGAGAAATCAAAGAACCAGGGCCAGGCTGTGCCTCGCATTCCTCCGTCTGAGGTTGAAGACCAGTAGGCTCAGAAGGCAACAAACCAAACAATTCAGATGAAGCTTGTTTTCGTTTTCGTCGCAGATGCAACTCTCTCTTCTTGGCATGTGCGGTAGTGATCTTAAGTAGCGATTGAGCGACCTGCGAATATTGTCGCGCATGAGGGTCGACTTGACCAAAGTGATCCATGCATATTATCGCATCCTTGCAGCTGTCTACCAACATAAGGCCTGAGTCACCAAGCACACCAACTGCAAGAACGAGTGTCGCAGTGAAAAGCCAAGACCTAATACGTGTTAGCTGTGATTAATTTAGGGGAGGGTGTGGCTTACACTATCAGTGGCATCCTGCGAGGCAACTGGTTCGTACGAATGACAGCCAGTAAAGTATCGACCAGCGTTGAGGCTGCATCAAGTGCAGCATCCGCATACTTGCGCTTCTCTTGATGATCAGCTTGTGTGCCTCCACTTTTCAATGGTGCGCCCATGTATTCATATAACTCGTAAATGAGGAATGGTCGTGTGAGTAGCATTATGCCATAATAGTAGGAGCAGAGTGTGGAGCAGGCGCCCACTACAGCTTCGCGAGAGCGACGTCTAGCCGTAAGACCGGATAGTCTATGTAGCCATTTGGATGCCCAGTTCTTCAGTTGTCGCGAGACATAATCGGCAATACGTAAGGATATACGTTTGCGCGAGTACACTTCAACGACAACGCGTTCGATGATCATAAAAATCTGGACGCTTGCGTCCAGTACACTGACATCATCGGCTTCCATACCGTCCTCCAAGGCATTGTACTTGACGGTGCAGTCAACATCGGAAGTAGACGGAGGTCGACCTAAGGCATTGCTAGAATACGAGCGGAGTGATTAGCGAAGATTCCAAAGCAAGGTTATCAACCTCTTCTGATATACCCAAGAGGTTGTCACCAGGATTGTAAGTTAGACAGCGTACATAGCTAAACTGTGATAGTAGACCACAATGAAACTCAATCTGCTTCTTACCTTATTAGTTGATCAGTGACACGGATGCTCTTCCAGATGCGATCTCGTACCAGCTTGATGGTCTCTCCAAAGGAAGCGTTCACTTCAGTTCGGTGTATGCCGATTGCATATGCGGCGCGCGCAGCCAAGGCTAGAAAATGTTAGCGATCCGCATGTTTCGTCCTCCTGTTCGCATACAGAAATACAGGTAAGCTCCGTTCGGCTGAGATGCTCGGAGCATAAAGATCGCTACAAGCGCGAAACCTTGGACTGTAGAGACATTCATGCTACTGCACATATGCTTCAGAAGCAGATCCCGGGCTGTGTTGAACCAAGCTTCTGCCTTCTCTTCAAACCTTTCTTGTGCACCAATAGCAAGAACAAGATAAAAGACTGCAGCTGCGGCGTCGTCTGAGCTTGAGGTTCTGCTACTTGCCCAGGCTTTCAGTTCAGGAGCGAGATCCTCTTTCTGGAATAGCTGAACGAGACCACTACTTGCAGCAATGTATTCATTGACTAATGCGTCCACTTGATTTATATCGATTGGAGGACATGAATGTTGATCTGCTGATTCAGGACGCGCAATCTCGATGATGGGGTCGCGAGTGGCTTGGACAGTGGCTCTTGGGTCAACCTCAGATGTGATGAGGTGCCTGACTGTCTGTAGAAAAGACAGCGGAGCGCAATCGCCAATAAAGATTGACTTCCCTTGCGCGTCACGAAGGATACGGCCTTCAAGAGGCACTACTGTGTCTCCCTGCTGATCGTCTCTACTTAGTGTTGGGGAGAGTGATGTTCCAACATCAGCAGCTTCACGATCGTTCCTTTCCCGAAGAACGTTGTCCTGTTCGTCGCGGTCACGTTCATTCGGTGTATGACCTGCGGAACGAGCGTGAGGGCGGTGGATATCGTCGGAACGGGTACCGTGAGTAGGAGTGTGTCCGGCGGAACGCGTGGAAGGACGGGCATGATGACCACTAAACGTGCAAGTAGCCGCACGATCCTTCCGCGTACAATAAGCGCATGGTTGTTCGCCGTCGCATTTGACCTTTCTCTTCTTGCAGAGATCGCAGGCCGCAGCGACACGCTCGAGTCGACGCCGTTTCTCCGGACGCGTCGGCAGTTGATCCAATGGTGTAGACATGTCGATGATCAATGTAATATACCCTAAAGGTGTTTGCAGCCTTTTGCTTTTTTAGCATGTAAGTATGAGCCAGAGCGCGCTGCAGCGCTGAATGACGGGACTCGTTGGACCGTTTGACGGATGTTGTTCCGACGAGACTGTCGGACGGGAAATTTCGGCTGATAGCGGGCTTGGCATATTGTCTCTAGGCCGCCAGGGTGCGGGCGTCATCGCGCGCTCTTTCCGCGTGTGGCTGGCAGCATCATCATCACTAGACGCGTCCATCATCCGCTAGTCAAGTGCAGAACCTACGAACCATATGACCAGGTTGCGCATAGGCAATATGGCAGTGGAAGCTTGGGTGATAGCATGCGAATATTGTATAGAATCAAAACATGCGACGTGAAGCTACGGGATCTGATCGGTATGCGGCTCGCCTTCGGCCACATGCTTCACGACTCACTACAAGCCTCTTGCCTCAAGGACCCCTTCCTCATGTCCAATGCCCATGGTCCATACCAGCGCACTCAACAATTCTCCCTCGACAACCCCATGGACCTCCCTCAGGCCTCTCGGCTCAAATCCCAACCTTATCAACGCATTTTTACTCGCCTCGTTGTCTGGTCTACAAAAAGCGCAAAATTCCTTTTGTCCTTTCTCTTCTCTAAAGTAGTTCAGCAGTGCTGTTGCAGCTTCAGTAGCGTAACCGTTTCCAAAATATCGAGATAGTAAACCGAAGCCTACGTCTGGGATTGTTGGTGCTGCAGGGGCGGACGGGAACCGTGCATGTTGCATCGATACAACGCCGATTGGTACCAACCGTCTTTCCGAAAAAGGCAAGGTACTTTCTTCAAGTGCTGATATGTCCAAGGTCGAAGTTGGCTTCAGAGAGATGAGGTAGCGACCATAGCCTGTATTCTCCATTCTGTCTACACAGTCCGCGATGAACTTCCTCCCAGCGTCGCGAGGAGGAGTGCTCATTGCCTTCTCCACAGCGGCTGCAGGCATCTCTTTAGTGATACCTGGACTGAGCATCAGGTCGTGTATGAAGTCGCAATGCGCATCGTTGGTAGGTAAAAGGTGGGATATGAACAGACGGGGTGTCGTGAGATGGAAGTCATGGTCAAGCATCTCGAACGAGGCTGAAGAAGCTTAGTCGTTGGCCGAGCTGAGCTTCTTATATCTCCGTCTTGACGTACTGGGTGATGGCTGCCTAGAGATATGGCAAATGACTCAGATCGCTCGGGTTTAGCCTGGGGAACGCCCGAAAGCAAGAAGCTTGACCCATCAGTACCTTCGCTTGATTACCTGATTGAGGAAAGGCGTCGGCATCGTGTTCTCAGTCGCAGTCAGTGTCGGAATGTAAAGATTGAAGATGCATATGCTCGGCGGTTTCCTGTTAAGCTGAGCGCCTTGCACGATCTTGCTACTTCTGTAGCTATGATAGCGGGAAAGGTCCAAACAAGTGTCGGCGGCATCGCGTGTATGATAGCGAAACCGAGAGCTTTAGTTGTTGTGTTACTCGTGTGTAGATGCAATTGTATTAAACTAACTACCACCAAAACGACGTCCAGGAGTTTAATCAATTTATGGTGCCGTTTGCGTCGCGGTCGCGGCCGTCCGCCAGTACGCATGGCCTTCCATGGCTGGTGTGGTCGTCACAGGCACGTCGTCGTGACACCTGCCAAACCAGCCTTTCGAGGTACATGTAGTCGTTGGCTCACTAGACGTAGTAGTAGTTGTGCTAGTTGTGCTAGTTGTGCTAGCCGTCGTTTTGTCTTTGCAACCAAACCATCCGGGCTTTAGAAGTCAGCGAAGTGTGCGCAATCATGGAAATATATGAACTCACAGTTTGACAGGTACTTGTACTAGTACTGGTTGCAGTACTTGATGGGCTGGATGAAGTGGTCGATACCATCGTAGTGGTCTCATCACGGCATCCCCACCACCCAGGTGTCTTACACGTCTCAGTCCGCGTCCTTGAGGATGTAGTGCTTGTTGCAGTCGTGGAGCTTGTCGTCGCTGTGGTGTGGGTACCGTTCTCGAACTTCCACAGATAACAATCGACGCACCCAACGTCTTCTTCTTGACATATTGCTGCCTCGTCGTATTTCATGTACACGTTGTCAATGGCGTACCTGAGACTATGGGTTTGCGTGTTCTGTCTCCACCCCCAATCCTTCACCACATCATATGCACATCTTTTCCCGGTATGGCAGAGTGTTTCGAAAGCATATCCGCCGATTGAGCAAAAGCTCGTCGCGCCGTTGCAGGTGCCCATATATACAGGGTCAGCGGTATGCCCGAAATGAAAGCCGCCTGTATTCTTCCTAAGGGGAGCGACATCGCCGGCAGCTGGCAAACCCAAGCGCTTAGCTGCTAAGGCTTGCGGGTAGGCCTCGAATGTCACCGCAGGAATACCGTGCTGCAAGCCAATCAAAGAAGCCAGGACACCCCCCAAACTGTGTCCTGTCGTCATAATGTTCGCATCCGGGTAGAGTTTGAGGACCTCCTGATACAGCTCGACAGTCGCAGCATAGTATCTATTCGGCTTTCGTAACTCGTCCTTGACACATTGCTCGTCACAGCTGTAGGTGCCAGTTTGACAGTCGCACACTTTGCGCCAAAGATATGTCCCGCCTTGGCCGCAACAGCAAGAGCCGTACAGGTTGTCGTTTTCTTTGTCGTGAACTGAGGTTCCATCGCCTTCAAACATGGCTACAGTCGTTCCCTTCACCGCCAGAATGATGGTGGAATTGGTATCATCGCTAAACACGTGACCTCGTATGCCACTATCATCCCAGCCAAAAGGAACTGATGAATTGTAACGTCCGTCAACGTCCATCCATCCAGCGTCATCACGACCGACCTTGTATGCATCCTCGGACATGTTCGCGAAACTGATTACCGTGTTCTTGTCCGTAACATCCGGACCCGGTACATCTTCGGCGATCCACATGGACGATATGGGGATCTGTGCATCGTAGCCACGCAATGCAGGTCGTTCTATCTTCACCGGTGCTGTCTTGATAGCGAAGGGTCCGATGTGAGTATCAAGACCAGCTACGGCAAATCGCTCTGGTGTCACGTCGAATCTGCGTGCTCGTGGTCCAGATTGGCCAGCGCCATGATCTATAAGGTGGCGCAAAGTGAAGCCGTTTGGTCTCGTTGTTGTCTTAACTGTTGCTTCCGCTAACGTGGTCGGCTCACGGGAGTTGCCATAGCTCGTATAAGTCCAGAAGATACCGACAAGCAACGCGACCTGCGCGAGGATGCCAAAGGCGAATAGAGTGTTGGAGGGCCTGCTCCGATGATTAAGAGTCGAGTTGTTTGATGGCATGATGTGTGGACATTGTAGAGGAGGCGAGAGATGGGACTGTTATGATAAGCGCGTGGATGGCTGAGTCGCCGCCTTGCGCACGGCCCGCCCTGGCTCGTGATAGGAGCTACGACCAAATTCGGTTAGCATATTTTATGCTACGTCACGCGCCTCCATCCACGCGCACCTCTCGTCCGGCACGAACTGAGCCTCACGAATCGCGAACGAAGTCACCAGGCATTGGAACAACGTGTCATCGACGCGTCATATCTACACTCATCGAAAGCACCCGTTGTCGAAGAGGGCTTAAGGGACTACAAGTCTCCCAGGCACCCTGAGCGATCGATGCGTAGCAGAATATAAGCACGGTGCAATTGTCGGTGTCGAGTCATCCAAGCTCATGGTGGTGCGCTTTGAGCAGCATAGACTAATGCCAATAGGCTACTGGAGTGACCTGTAATAGCAGCGCACATGTGTCGAGTTTAGACGCGAGCGTTGAGCTCACCCCAAATGCAAGGCGTTGAGCCCTGGTTTCTATGTTGAAACAACATCCCAGATGTTGAAGCCTCATCCATCAATCCATTCGCACAATCATCGCTCATGGCTCTTTTCGATACTCTTCTTCAACTCTTTGATGGCTGCCGGCCCTGCATTCGACAAACTGATCGCCGCAGCCATCGCTCCACAAGCCACAGTAACGATATGACTTGTCTTACAACCATCTAGATATCCACCCAACACCTGCTCCAGCTCGTGACCTGAGAAAAGAGCGCGTATCTGCGTCGCGCCGGCATTTAATACCACTTTCGCATCGACTTGTGGCAAATTACGGGCAAGACTTGAAAGGAGTCCGTTCGTGAAAGCTGCTTCACCCGATGCGACAAATAGAACAGTACCACAATTCTCCATAAACAGCGACATGGATGTTGCTGCTCCCAGGTCTTCAGCGGGAACCAGGGCTTGGTTCGCGATCATCGGGATTTGAAGAGCGAGGCCAACTCCCATGGCTGTCAAGAGTTCGAAGCCAACCCAGTCTTTGATTGGTGTACTGGCGTCCAGGGAGTGTATCTTCGTATTGCCAACCACAGCAAAGAGTGCGCCGAGTAAGAAGAAGGGCTTGTAATGGCGCCAAAATGTGAGCAGTCCATTCGATATCATGGTGAAGACCGAGACGCCCATGACAAGTGGGATGAGCCGGATACCGCTTTGCGAAGCCGTGTTGTTGTCGACAGCTTGAAACTGAATGGGTAGCGTATACATAAGTGGGAAGAAGGCGCCTGCAAGGAACATGGCATAGAACAAATTGGCTGAAACCAATTTGTTCTTGAACAAGTGGAATTGTACCATAGCACGGCTGCCCATAACATACTCGTTGACCGCAAAGCAGATGAAGAGACTTGCGAAGCCCAAAAAACTGCCAATAACACGAGCACTCGTCCAAGGCATGATGCCTATCCAGTGCATGGCCAGAATGAAGCACGAGAAACACCCGGAAAGTAACACTGCGCCGTTAAGATCCAGATTCAATACTTTCTCGCGGAGAGGTACGTCTTTGGGCTTTTCGGGGTTCTTGAAGCAAAGAAACATCGTGAGCGCTGCAGCAAAACCGATCGGTAGACTGATCCTGGGTAGAGTCAGCGCTATGTTATACACAAGGAGGTTCCTATGGCTCTTGCGATATGCACACAGTACTCGATCGAGTGCCTCTCGTGGTGGCAAACCGTATGTCTGAACATATGATGCTAGGTTGACTTACCAGAAGCAATACCTCCATCCGGGGCCATCTGTCAAAGCACCACCCATCAACGGCCCTACGACACTCGCACATCCAAACGTCACACCCAGCACACCCATATACGCTGATCTGTACTCCGGCCCAGCAGTGATTGCGATGATGATGAACGCGCCCGTCATCACCCCACCACCGCCCATGCCAGCCACGATCCTTCCAAAGATCAACACCTCACTCGATGGTGCAGTTGCGCATATTACATTACCAATCTCGAACACTGCAATCGCACACATGAACGTGGCCTTGAGGTTAAAGTACTGGTAAGCTTTGCCCCACGCGGATTGGAACGCAGTGTTAGTGATAGAGTATGACGAGCCATACCAGGCTATATTGCTGATACTGCCGAATTGGGTGGTGATGCTCGGAATTGCTGTAGCGATGATTGTCGAGTCTAAAGCCGCGAGGAAGATGGAAAGGATAAGGCCGACTGTGATCAGAACCAAGCGGATACCACGAGGGTACTGAGGAAGCGGTGCAGTGGAATCAGATATCGCTGCAGCCGTTGGCGCTTCCACGGCTCCGAGATTGGCGAGCTCGATTGGTTCTCCGCTCATCATGCCGTACTTTGCGAATATTCTGTCGAAGAGTTGGAGCCTGAAAGACAAATCAAGACGACTAGAGTCGTATCAGTTTATAGATGCCCATAGGGTCTAGTGTCCGCGCTAGTAGCCAGTTCAGGTTAAACACCGGCATAAAAGCTTGCCTCGGTAGAGGCTTACTCCGATGGTCGACTCCGAGCTATTGTTTCCTTCACGCCTACAAGCATGAACGTGGTGATGCAATGAGCATCGAAATTGAACCTACAGACATTCATGAACGCAGTTGCTGCAAGTCTCACCTAGCAGTCTGAGTATACGTGGGCTTGTGTTGGTTACGAGCAGGAATACGAACAAGTTCATTTCTACAAGGTTGCATCTTGAAGGTATACATGCTCAATTAAGTTACAAAGTATTTAGAGTTAGAATAAAAAGGTTTTTGAAGGGTTCAAAGTGTATACCCATAAGGCAGGCTCTAGCACTTGGGGTAAAACCTAGAAAAGATGAACTCCTTTGTGTACGTGCTATTTTCAGACATGTCTCCAACACATTGACCCAATACGTTTAAGACAACACCGCTCTGAGGGTCTAAAGGCTTACGTCGCTACGCCATGCATCTCAAAGGTAACAAACTGCAAAAACGCCTGAGCACCAATTATCATAGCAGACATTGCGATTTCGTGACTAACCGTATGAATGAGCGAGGGAAAACAACATATGATTTGGCGGACTTCGCAAATCCCGGTCGCGCGAATTCGGTGAGTAACCTGAAAAGCAGATATGGTCGTTAGTGATGTGAAGGTATAGTCTCCGATGTACCATTGACGGATACCCCGTATCATCGTAACTAGACGTCGTAGGAGACATTGGTGATATCCGTGAGGCCTGGGTACTTTCAAGGGTATCATCGCGATATTTGTGCGTCATCCGCGGTCTTTGTTCGATCATTCGTGCACATACTAAGCGCTTGCCTGGGTGTCACCGTGGGCTGACGAGTAACCGTAAATTAACTGCCACAGAAAGTCCAGGGTGGTGGTGTTGATGAGTGCTGAAGGCGTGGTGAGGTTTGGTGGGGAAGTCCAGGTTGTCGGCCCGGGGCGCGTCATTGTTTGCAGCGCGTTTCGCGTTCAGCCCGTCCACTCCGAACCGGCACCCTCACACTTTGACACCTTGACGCCGCTTCTTCCCCCGAATCGTCAGCGTACGCACCAGATTGATGACGAACATCATGGTTATGACGCCCAGTATCGCTACAATGCATGCTAGTGGTGCTAAAATGGAGAATATGGAGAAGACATATGACGCCATGCCGAAGGAGTAATCGTTTGCAAGGGGCTCTGTCGCAAGCCCGACCTGCATCGCAGAGAGCACAATGGTAGTGTATGCGAACAGCGTAATGAGACTGTTGATGTTGTCACGCATGAAAGCCCCGTACGTCGTGCAACCGCTAAGGTAACCGCGAAACTCGCCCATAGTCAGGCGGTATATCCAGTTCAGCCGCCCGAGGCGCAACTCCCCGTAGTTGAAGCGTTGGTTCACGACTGGACGCGCTTCAAGCGAATCTACAGACGATGTAGTCGATGCGTCGATCGTGTGCACCTGTACAGAGGCGCGAACGACCTCGTCAACGAGCGTCAGCCACGCAGACCAAGTAATTTCCTTGGGAATGAGACCATGGTAGATGGCTAAGTTGTAGTCGACTTCTCTTTCGATGAGCGCGACATACGACAGCAAAAATCCCAGTGCAGTCTCGTACAGGTGCCGACGTGGGCAAATCTGCTCAGTCCAAAAGTCTGGGCAAAAGAGGAAGCGAGGCAGCGGTTTGAGAAGAATCAACGACGAAGGCGCCGACGACCAAACAAGATGCAGGTCCAACTGTTCCGTCACAATAATCTCTCGTTTCTTCACCACTTGATAATGAAGAGGCCGCGGCGCGGTTGGCAGACCCACCAACCAGAGCCATTCGTGAACCTCGTTCAAACGGCGAACATTCAGCTCGACATCCAGAAATGCACCGATGTTGTTGTCGATGCGCTCGATCTTGTAGTTCCTCCGGAACGTCGCTGGCAATAACGGAACTTTCGACTTTGACCCACCATCCAAGCTTTCAGTCCTTAGCGGCGCCGTCCGGAAAGGCACTGGGTACTTGATCGACTGCTATACGGAATCAGTGTGTTGACGGAGACCTTTCAGATTGCTACTGACCTCGAAGGAGTCAATCATCATGAAAATGACATCTAAGTCGTGAAGAAGGACTGCGATGGCAAGATGAAGACATGAGTTGGTCGCCTAAGCGGATTCGCGAGCGTCCGCCCCGGTCCCGCCCCATCGCCAACAGCCCCGAGCGCTCGATAATCTGCCACCAATACGGTTGTGGCCAGGGGGTTGTACGCCTGGCTGACACATCCGCTCCATATTTCTGTTTTTGGTAATTTTGGCCCCCAATATATTCGGCCCCCAAAGGTGCGAGTGAAGTCTGGATGCAGGGGGGCAAAGCCATGCGCGGGAGCGCAACGTTCTACAGACCGACCCTGAAAGTATTCCTTTGGTGATGGTTCAAACGTACGATAGCCACCAACTTCTAGTTTGCAGCGCAGTTCTGCTGCAACACCACAATTCACGATGGCTTCGGCCACGAAGGTCCAACATTCGAAGTTCGACGCGCAAGTCAGTGTCATCCTCATCCGTGATTTTCCAGCTATTAACAAGCGCAGTCGTTCAACCCCGGACTGAACGTCCTCTATCCCAGCGATGAGCAGGCAACATCAAAGGTCTCGACCAAACTCGAGTAAGTGGTCACAAACTGAGGACGGAAGACCGAAACTAATAACTTTGAGGATCATTGCTATTCCGGGACTAGGAGCAGATCCAGAATATACATGGAAGAAGAATAAAGTGCATTGGTTACGTGATGCGAACATGCTGCCCAAGAAGATACCGCATGCCAAGATCAGCGTGTTCCAATATCAGTCGCAGTGGTTCGGAAAGGGATCTGTTGACGAGCGCATCGACAATGTTGCAACGAAACTACTACATGGACTTGACCGATCTAGAGTAGGTGAACATGCTATAGCCACGAATACCTTCTAACACTCCAAAGGAAGACGCTAAGACGCCAATCATCTTTGTCTCGCACTGTCTGGGCGGCATCATCCTTGAAAAGGCCTTACTCATGTCAAGATCACGCCAGAAAGACTTCCCCAACGTATATCCCTGGATTGCAGGATGTTTCTTCCTCGGTACTCCTTTTCATGGCACATCCAGCCAGTCCAAGGCAATGGTTCTAGCATCCATGGCTGAGGTCGCCGGCTGGGGCACGCCATCAAGCCTACTCAAGGTGCTCGAGAAGGATTCCGAAATCTTGCGCAGTCTCCTCACGGAATTCTCTTATATGGCAAGAGAAGCCCAGTTTCGGCTATTCTGCTTCTGGGAGGAGAATGATAGCGACCTGGTCAACTACCTTGTGAAGGGAATCTCATGGCTGAAGAGCAAGGAGCGTATCGTTGACCAGTCTTCCGCAACAATCGAGTCGTTCGATCACATGTCTCTTATGTCGGATCATTTCCAACTCAATAAATTCCCCGGGCCAAAGGATGGGAATTTCACTGCCGTTTCTGATGAGCTCCGTGAAACAGCCAACAAGGCAGACAGCATCATTAAAACCCGTCAAAACATGCTTCGACAGGCTCAGGTCGATGATCGCACATACCATAGCATGATGGATGTTCTAAGCAAAGGCTTTGCCGACGTAGACGCAGCTGTAAAGGGTACTTACAGAGGGGCGAAGGGCACGAAACCGTCTTCCGTGCTCGAGATCGACAGCTTTCAGACCTGGAAGACCTCGTCTGCACATCCTATCCTGTGGATTCACGGAAAAGCTGGTACCGGTCAAGGCGCGATTGCCACTTCTGCCCTTGAAAACCTCGGACAATCGCCCGGTAAGAAGGTCATGATCATATCCTTCTTTTGCGACCAAGGCGATACGATGAGAAGATCACTGAAAAGCTTGCTTCAGATGGTTGTTCGCCAGATGATCGATCTGGACCAGGATCTTGCACGGCATCTACTCTCAGATTCTCGCAGCAGCAAAGACGCTGGGAAGCAAAGCTTCGATGCCGAGGAGATACTCAAGGTGCCGGCATTATGGGTGGCATTGCACAAAATGGCCAAGGATCTATCTCGCACCAATGTTTTTATCACAGTCTATGGAGTGGAACAGCTTGCAGAAGAATCTTTGGTGCAGTTCCTGCAGTACATGACGGAGACCTTGGACACCGAGGCTGCTACAAAGGATGCGGAAGAAACCCAAACCATCAAATGGCTGCTGCTGAATCGTAGCGGCCGACGAAACATCGAAAATTGCTTGAGACCGAGATCGCTAGAGATCAACTTGAGCAGTGCGGAGAACTCTGCACATATCAGCGACGATCTTAAAGCAAACATATCTGTCAGTGTCGATGAACTTGAGCTCCCGTCGTCTCTGGCATACTTTGTGAAGCGCCATATCTACTCGCGCGCGGAAGACAATTGGATCTATGTCAGCCTGGTTATACAGGAAGTCAAGAATGCTTGGAGTTCTGGGCGTACTCAACACGCAGAAATTCGCAAACTGTTGGAGTCTTTTCCATATGGTTTGACGGATATGTTCGAGCACGTGCGAAAGCGCGTTCTGGACCCGCAAGCTGAGGGTTACGAATACACAAAAGAGATCTTGCGTTGCAGGGTTTTGGCGTACGTGGCACCGACGATGCGTGAGCTGGCTATCATGGCTGGCCTGCCTTCGGAAGATCGGGATGATCTGGAAGAACTCAAAGCTTACATAAGACGCTGTGGTGCTTTCTTCACGTTGAGAGGCAACGACTGGGATCTAGACAACAGCACAGTAGAGTGGATCGACATCTCTGCACAAGAGCATCTCCGAAAGTATGCAAAGAATGACCTGTCTCTGGACCTCGACGATGTGCAACACGGTATCATCGCTTTACGATCATTGGAGTATATTCATCAAGCCATCGAAAACCAAGACACCTCAGAGAATGATGAAGAGCAAGAGGAGTCAGTAGAACAGGTCGATGTAGAAGAGGAAAAAGTGCCAGATCCAGCCAATGCTGACAGCAGATCAGTACAGGACGACGCAAGCGAACAAAGTGAAGAAGAAGAGACCACCGAAGACAATGATGCATCTTCTGATGTAGAAGAGGATGAAGACGAAGGTATGCTAGATGTGGATCTACGATATCCTGTTCGGTATTGGGTGGAGCATGCGAAGAGAGCCCCACCGGACGTCCTCGAGGAGATCGACTTTGACCATTCATTCTGGCGGCAAGGCTCAGATGCTCGCCAAAGATGGTGGAAGACCATAGAGGATGTTCATGACATGACAGATCAGAAAGACGTGTCACCACTCCACGTCGCTGTGATCCTCGAATTTCCTGCCCTGGTCGACCACATTTTAGATCATCAGGGGACTTCCGACGTTCATGCACAGGACTCGTTAGGATTCCAGCCCCTGTACTACGCATGCGAGAGTGGCTGCGACGAGATCGTTAATGCGTTACTTGGAGCAGGCGCCGAAGTTGACTTCTCGAGCAACAGTGCTAACCCGACTGCGCTCCACGCTGCATCGTCCAATGGCCACTACGATATCGTCAGCACATTACTCGACCGCGATGCTGACATCAATGCAACAACTCCCGATCAAGGAACAGCGCTCTATGCGGCAGCTGGCAATCTTGAAAACCGCATCGTGAAGCTTTTGCTGGACCGTAACGCAGACGTCAACGTCATTGGTGGACCTGGTCGACGAGCGCTAAACATTGCCGCATTTTCAGGCAATACCGAAGCCGTTCGTCTCCTCATCGAAAAGGGTGCCGATATAGATCCTAGTGAGGATTATCTCTATGGATCTGCACTTGGTGCAGCCGCTCGTCGTGGGCATACAGATGTAGTCCGGCACTTGTTGTCGCATTCGTGGAGCCCTAACCGCCCAATGAAGACATATGGAAGCTTTTTGAGTGCTGCTGCTACATACAATCATTTGGAAGTTTTCCAGGTGCTGCTTGAGAAAGAAGAACGAATTCTTGTGCTTGAGCAGGCACTGCAAGCCGCTGCGCAACGAGGCTACGCCCCTATTGTCAAGGCCATTCTGGACAAGGAATCCCAACTGTCAACATGTACCATTCGGTACCAGAGAGCTTTCTCTTTGGCAGCGTTCTATGGTCGGACGGAAGTACTCAAGCTACTTTATCCAAAGGGTATTGATCAAGCGCAACTGGATGAAGCGCTATACCAGGCCACCGATAACGAGCATGTCGATACTGTGGAACTGCTTTTAGACTTCGGCGCCGACCCGGACACGGAAGGACCAACCTACGGGTTTGCATTGGCCGCTAGTGCATACGACGGTACAACCGACATCATGAAAGCCCTCCTCGCCAAGGGCGCAAACGTGAACAAACGCGGAGGAGACTATGGTACATGCCTTCAGGCCGCTGCATGGTACGGCGATGCCGATAACGTTCAGCTTCTACTTGATAACGGGGCTCAGCTAAATACTGAGCCCATCGGCTACTACGGCAACGAATTGCAAGCCGCCGTTCACACTGGCAATGAAGAGACGATTCGTCTTCTGATCAAAGAAGGAGCCGACGTAAATGGTTTTGGCGGACACTTCTCGTATGCCATCATTGCCGCTGTCGAGCAAGGCGATAGCAATGCGACTAGAATTTTGCTCGAACATGGCGCTCACGTCAACGTACGAGGAGGAGAAGATAACTGGCCAGTAATCTCACTGGCGGCGTCTACTCTGCTTACTGAAGATTTGGAGCTGGTCTTGAAGAACGTTGCAGATATCAACGCAGCCTGCGCCAGAGGCACGACAGCCTTGATTAATTGCGCAGATTCTTGTGATGCGGATGGTTTGAGATTTCTTATCGACCACGAGGCCGACGTACACATTTCGAGTGAGAAGTACGGCACGGCCCTTCATGCTGCAGCGTATGTCTAAGTACTCCTGCTACATGAGAGATACTAATCTATTCCCAGTGCTGAAGGTGATGAGGACTGTTGTGAGGTTCTACTCGATGCTGGGGCGAACGTCAATGCTGTTGGAGGTCCATATGGAACACCACTACAAGCCGCTGCATGGGCGGAGGATATGGAAAGCGTCCGCGTTTTGTTAAAGGCCGGTGCCGATATCACCATTACCGAGCCCATATCTGGCGAGTATGGTACAGCACTACAGGCTGCCTGTGCTGCTGGATCTTTCGAAATTGTCAAAGAGCTGTTGCAGCATGGTGCAGCTGTCAATATCCGGCCAGCCAATGGAAAGTTCGGCAATGCATTATCTGCTGCCGCTGCTGGTGGATTTGAGAAAATCGTCAAGCTGCTCATCAAGCACCATGCTGATGTGAACGCCAGCGGTGGTCTACATGGATTCCCTATCCTAGCCGCTGCTCAGTCTGGCGATATAACAGTCGTTCAGCGCTTACTCGACAATGGTGCTAATGCGTCAGCGCTAGGAGGCCTGCTTGGGTCAACTGTAGCTGCTGCGGTTCGTGGGGATGACTTGGATGTCGTGCTGTTACTCATAGAACATGGAGCCGATGTGCACGCTAAAGGAGGCAAGTATGGAGATGCTCTCCAAACAGCAGTAATGAAGGCCGATATGGCCATCATCGACGAATTGATTGATCGGGCTCCCGAGCTGGTCAACCACCACGAGGGCAAATACCATACTGCTCTCATAGCTGCCTCCTACTTCAACCGCATGGATGTGGTTGTCAAGCTTCTAGATGCTGGGGCAGACTTTCGGGTCCAAGGGGGGATGTATCGGAGTGCCATCGCCGCGGCTTCCATCAGAGGGAACAAAGCCATTCTCGAGAAATTCCTTGCGATGAAGCCTCCAGACCACTTGCTGGACGAAGCTCTCGTCGAAGCCTGTGCCTATCGTCAATCGGCTTGCGTTGACGCTCTGTTGAAGGCAGGTGCTAACGTGTACACCCGGCATCCGGCTAGAGGGTTGGCGACTGAAGCACTTGATGCCCCAGAAGAGGAAGGACTTAACTCAGATTTGGAGGATGATGATGGAGAGGATGATGAAGACTCCGACGAGGAGGATGAAGAAGATGACGAGGATGACGAATGGGAGGCCGATGGTGTCTCTGTGTCGGGAAAGACTGACGAAGGCAGCGTCACCGACCTGGAACTGGAAGAAGAGTTGTCTGAAGAGGCGAAGATACGAAAGTTGTTGAAAGAGGCACAGGACCGCTGCAAACGTAATCCAACGGTGAAGCGCTTCAGAACCGTGAAGCGCCGAGAGGTTCCAGCGAGTCTCAGCGTTGGGATTAACCGCCGTCCTCCTGTACCACCATTGCCCTCGATGGCGGATCAACGTTCTTCTAGCGTGCACGACCATGCGATGAAGACCGAGTCTGGCTACGGTCAGTACCCTCAAGAGCCTTGGAGTCTGCCTTTCCACCTCAGGCCAGGTAATGTAGAGGCTCCAACTCATACTGCCAACGCAAGCTCTTCACCTCCAGTTCCATCTTATGCTGGCTATCCTGCCCCGTTGTTTGCTCAAGGCAAAACGCAGTCGCCATCATCAACGCCTGAGCGGATGCGATCACCCATGGAGCACCGACAACGACAATACTCGGCCTCGTCTCTAGCATCAGAAAGACACGACTCAGCCGGATCGATACCTAGCATGCCTCAACCTAATAGGACGGCAAGCGCGGATCACGGACTCAAAAGACAAAGTAAAGCTGTCAACCGCAAGTCAGTCGCTAACATGGAAGCGCTCAGCCGCTACCATCAACAGCGGCAATCAACCTACATGCCACCCCTAGATCAATCAATCTCACAGCACGACTATGCTACGCCTAGCCAACAGGTTTCGTCCCCACCACCTCAATACGGAACCCCTCCAGTGGCTCCGCAAGACAGCTATACCGGAGCTCCGAACCAATCCTACCCACCGCCGATGCCACAGCGACAATCGCAGCAGTTCGTTCAACCACAGCAATGGATGTATCAAGGGCCACCGCAGCCACCGCAACAGCATTATTCACCCCACACCTCGCCCCCACCACCTCCACATCCGGTGCAGCACTCTTATGTACCCTATCCTCATCAAAGTGCAGCGTCATCCACAACCTCGTTCCAGAGCAGCCAGTACACGAACACTGGTAGCCAGCCGGCACCCTGGGATACGCCCAACTCGAGTACTAGCACATTTGGCAATGCACACAGTCAGGGTGAGGCGCAAGGGAGGAGGTGGGCCAGTGGCGGGTACGATGGGTCGGGATATGGATGAGTGGTGATTGATGTTTGGATTTTTCAGGTGATTTAAGGACAGTATCCTTACTGGGGGTACGACGTCTAGCAGAGGAACGCTAGAGAAGTTCCGGATAATCTCATTGACTGGTTGATAAGGAAGAGGAAGAAAAGAAGAATAGACCACATGGAGGTTCATAGGTCTGCCGACGGCTGCTTTGAGTAAGAGCGAGGCTATTTTGAAGCCATCTCACTACGAGACACGATAACGGGTGAGCAAACATGGAGATACGGCAAGATGTCAGTAACGTGGAGCTAGGCACATAACCATTGAGAGCTTTTTGCTTGTCGTAGGAATATATCAACTAGTGACCACCTATGCCACCTTGCCGTCTCTAATCAGCCCACTCAACGTCTCATTCGCGACTGTGTATGCCCCAAATTCATCCTCGTACTTGGCCACCAATAAATCGCTGACCATGCGCGCAAACACGACCTCACCCCATGGGTTCAGATGCGTCCGATCCGTCCCGGTTGTGCCATTCTCACCCCAGTTGTAGGTATCCGCTCCTTTCTGACCAATCGCGTTCACGTAGGCGGTCGACGCCTTGTTTAGATCGATGACGTGCAAGTCGTTGGACTGGGCTACATCTAATGTGATGGCGGTTTCGTTGGACAAATTCTCGATGACGCGTTTTGTTGTGGTGTTGAACGTGCGCCGCGTTAGGGGAGTTACGAGGATGGGCGTGGCGCCTGCTTGCTCGACTTCGGAAGCAAAGGTCGCGAGGTTGTTGCGGTAGTCTGTTAGGGAGACTCCAGAGGTGGGCTTTTGGTCATTGTGGCCGAACTATCGTGGTGTTAACTATGTATTCTCCACCTTCTCTTCTTGTACTGGCATACCTGAATCGTCACGTAGACGTTGTAATCCTCCTTGTATGTGCCCATGTCCTTGGTGACGCTGGCCCAATCGCCGCCGGCACGGAAGGATCGCGTTGTCGCGCCGCTGTGCCCGTAGTTGTGCCCTGATGAGCCGGCCGCAACAGTTTTGGAAAGAAACTCGTCACCCCATCCGCCGTTGGTTGCTGTTGTTGAGTCGCCGGCCAGCAGCCAATATATGGGCTTCTCGGCTTGCCTGGAGATGGCCGCCGGTGCCGCAAGAGCGAGAGGAAGGAGGGAGAAAGGTGCTACGCGCATGATGAACGTTTGCGAATGCCTTTGGGTGACGGTGAAATGAGCCCTATAATGTGAGCTTGGAGCGGTTCATAAGTACGTTGTTAGTAGGGCGACAGCTATCCACGCTCAGCCATGAAGCCGGCGGAATGGAAGACATAGATCTTCCAAATTTGCGTTACGATATTGCATCTTCGCTTTGCCTGAAGCAGCTCTACAAGCGCTCGTGATGCGCGGAAGGAATTCCAGAAGTTGGGTGGTGGTTGTAGATCCCCGTGAAGCTGGAGTAGATGGGGAGGGAGTTGCGGGGTGCGCCGCTAATCGTCAGGCACCTCGCGGTAATGTCGCCCGAGGACGTTAGTAGCGTCACGGGCAGAACATTCTCAAAGTTCATACACTGATGTCGCATGGCGTAACTAACAGTGCAAGATTCTCGAATACCATTGTATAGCGGTTGGACCGTCGGTGACCGGTCAGGTAGAAAGTCTCGAAAGTGGCCTTACTTGATCGCTGCAAGGCATCCACGCTTTCAAATGCTGTATAGAACAAGGATTCAAAATGGAGAGGAAATTAGGAAGACAGTCGGCAATTTGGGTAGGCTGATCGCAGAAGCTCCAGCCGTATGAGAGAGCACAAACGGATGTACTCCAAGTCCCACCGGCACGGATGCGAATACCATACGACTTCCGATCAGGTCCGACCTGCTAGGCGGCAGCGCAACTCAAAGATTTGCGGGTGCCACCAGGAGGACCACTCTCCAAATTGTTTCTTGACTCCAAAACGATGCCTTTCAGAAATCAGATGGACGCCGCTGTACAAGCTTTGCCTGGGCTTTTCTCGTCCATCCTTCCGCCTGCACACCTCCTAGCTTACTCCACACTGCTTGGAACCGAGCTGTATCAAAGTTTCGTAATGACCAAGGTCGCATATCAAGCCCTTCCAAGATCAGCTTTTACGACTTTGCAGAAGCGTGTTTTCCCGGTATACTTCCAAAGCCAGTCCATCCTTCTGCTCGTCGTTGCTGCGACATTCCCGCCTCATGGACCGATTTCGATATTCCAAAAGAGAGGAGATTGGATAGCTTTCGCCATCGCTGGGGTCACTGCAGGGTTCAATTTGATCGTTTTTGGCCCCAGGACACAAGCTTTGATGATTGAGAGGGTCCACCAATGTAGGCATTACAGCGCGCTCAAATCAACATTTGATAGCTGATGAATGGACTAGCAACTCGTGACAATAAAGCACAGCTCAAGGGAACCATGAGCGACGATATGAAGGTTCTCAATCGAGCTTTCTCTAGGGCTCATGCAATGAGTATACATCTCAACCTCATTACGATTGGAGCCACGCTTTGGTATGGGCTGCGCTTGGCGTCAAATTTACATTTCGAGACTGGTTGAGCTTGGATGACAGTGGAACTCTCCGGGGGTTTCAAGGTTCAAGATGGTTAGGTAGTGAGCTTTGGGGATATCAAATAACTCGTAAATGGTGTAGAAACTGGAAAAGTTGTGGATCGATAAGGGCTGGTGTTCTATCGAGTGCTTGTTCAATATGAATGGGTTCGCATGATGCAGCGCGATGATTGTGTTAGCTTCATGGTCATCGATCTGGCCAACGGAATTCCACCTAGGTAATCTGGCGCTGATGAGTCATCCAAGGCGCCCAGCACTACCGGCGGCCGGATGTTAGTATTCGTCCCGTCCCGTGTTCGGTATGACACTCGCGCTCCTTTCGCATCTGCATCGATCCTGCGCCATCGCATCGGATGGAAGACACTGAACAACCCTCCGCTACAAGAGCGGGTACATCGCGAACTGCTCAAGCGTGCCAGCGATGTCGTAATCTAAAGACACGATGTTTGCCAAGCGCCCAATCTGGACTATGCCAAAGGTGTGCTCCATCCAATCAGCGTGTCGGCAGCCCAATGGTGTTCCCAGCCGTCACTCCACATGATACTAATCTGGTTCCTCTGAAAGTGCTAACCATACACAAGATGTTTTTCTGCCGGCAAAGAATGTACTTGGGCCGAAGCGCCACGAAGGACAAGGAAGCTGCGGGCGCCCTCGTAAGTCGTTGTCTATTCCTAATTGGTCTTGACTTATAGTGTTGGCAGCCGAATCGCGCAGGTTGAACAGAAGATCGATGGGCTCGTTGCTAAACTCGTCCATGCGGCTGGTGAGACTGAACTCACGACCGACTCTACAAGTGCAACACAGCCGTCTCCTGAAGAGACCCGAGCAGAGACGTGGCAGAAACGGGGAGTAATCAACGTTACACCAGGAAGCTGGATACCGGCACCATCCTTCGAGACCAGCACCTTGCAACATGAGAACAGCACTGAGGCTGTCTCCGAAAGTGCTGAAGTCGATCGACAGTACCTCGAAAGTCTTCGCAGCATACACAGATACAGTGATCGTGAAGATGCTCCTCCGGCTTCTGAGGGCTTTTTTAGGCCGTCAAGACGCCCCGAAGCACCCATTGAACACGAAATTGTTCAACAAATGTTATGTTCAGGTGAAGCTGACGTACTGTTGAACGAGTATCGTAACATGTCAGCAACGTTCCCTTTCGTAATGCTACCTCCGCAGATCACTGCTAAACAGTTGCACGAGCACAGACCTATGCTCTTACTGGCTGTCATTCTGGTATCATCATGGAAAGAACACACACGCCAGATGCAGCTTGATGGTGTCTTTCGCACAGAACTTGCTCATCGAACGATTATCCAACCCCGCAGGACACTGGGCCTAGTTCAAAGTGTATTGGTCTACTTGTCATGGTATGCCAGTGCTCATATTCCGTCAAAAGATGCTAATCGGTCTAGGTACCACTTCGTTTTCAGCCACAAAACACAGCAGATATTCTTCTTACACAACCTCGTCACAGGACTGGCGCTCGATATTGGTCTGCATCAAGATTTCCAACCCATTGGCTTTCCAATGCCCCAGCGGCCTAAAGCTCCACCGCCACCACCTGGAGAGTTGCGCGAGAGACATCGTGCTTTTCTAGGTTGCTATTACCTTTCTTCTATGTAGGTAGCCGCAGTGATACCTTCTTTGATCCTATGTTGACTTGAAGCAGGGTCGCTACAGGCTTACAGAAGCCAAACTTGTTGAAACATAACTCTATCATGTCAGAGTGGGCGAAAAGCTTGAAACAGAATCGAGAGTACGAGACCGACGAGACTATCAACCTACTCATATCATTACGGCAGATCGATGACCAAGTACAAGATGCGCTCTATACGGCCGATGGTTCGCAGCTCCCAATTTCCGATGGGCGAGCATTGATGCATGTTCGATTTATAGATGCACAACTCGATACATGGAAGAGAGAATGCGACGGTGTTGCATCACAACGACTCCTCGAACTTTCGTTCTCGTACGCTAAGATGCAACTACATAGCGTAGCTCTTCGCTCATCGCCCTCGGAGCTACCGGCGTCGGTACGTTCATCGCAAATCAACAGCTTGCTCTCGTCACTTGAGGCTGGTAAACGATTCTTGGATACACTCCTTTCGTTTCCAGCTCAAGAGTATCACCTGATATCGTTCTCGGAATGGATGCGTTTGCCCGCGGTCATTATGACGGTCGCCAGACTATGTATCCCCTCTGAACAACATGCCACTATCGGATGGGACACGCAAGCCGCGCAAGACAGGGTGCGCCTAGATCTCTGCCTTGAGTCGATCTGCTATCGAATGTCAACCTTAACGGCCTTTGATAAGACAAAGCGGCCTGAGACTGACTTCTGGTACGCTATGCAAATGATCAATGATCTGACGAAGAATTGGTACATTCGCAAGATCCGACCGGAGCGACCTAGCCAGACACCATCAATGCCTACACCCGGCGACTCAATCGAGCACAGTGTAAGCGAAGGCTCATGCCCTATCACTGGCGCTCCAAGAGTGCATTCAACCCACCATGCGAGCGACCGATACAACCACTTACCTGACACCAACTATATGGATGAGTTCAATGTAGAAATGCCTCTCGACACCGAGGCCAACGGCGAACCTTTTGCGCTCATGAGAAGTGCCGATTTCGACATGGGGCAGTTCTTCGATATGGCGGGGAGCATTTGGGGGGAGGATTGCTACAACAGCTATGCTGACATGTCGTTTGGAGGTGGTGCTCAGTTCTGATTCCCGGGCTTGAATCATCGACAGTGTGACACAAGCAGTCATGCGCGAATGGTTACAGCACCTTGAAGCTATGCAGGACATTGGCTCTCGCGGATGCAACACTGGCATCGCAGGTCGTTTGCCGACGAGCTCGTGGGCACGTCTCGAGGCCTCGTTCTAAGCAGGTGTAGCGCGATTGCTGATCCTGCGTTCTTTGTACAGAAGAGATGTATCTTTTATCTGCTGTATTGTAGGCATTTACGCCGGAAGTGTATTCATGCTCATATCTCTGTCCAGAGCAAATCGGCTTCAACCACACTCAACCTCATTAGGCACGTTCCAGTGCCAAATACACCTAGAAAGAGATCAAATGAACAAGGAACAATGTTCTTCGTCAGACACAGAAGTAAAGCATCGCGTACTTCCGCTTACCGCTAATTCATACCTTCCTTTCTGACACTAATCCACCAACCCGGCGCCGTCCAATACCAGTCCCAAGTTACCACCTACACTGCACCCCGCAATCCAGGTGTCAGTTTCAGATGCCACGAGCACGCCACGCGTGGTTTGGAAAGTTGTGCTAGTCCTTTACGGGCCGCGAGATGGTGGTGTCGCTTGGAAAAATGTGATTGGCTGTAAACGTAAAATTGTTGACGCTTGCACTGCTGGGCGAGTCGGCGATCGCTAACCGGTTTGCACGTGCAGGGGCCAGCCCGGAAATTCGTCGCATGTGTGACATCAGCTGGACCCTGCATTCACGCCTTGAAATTTAGGACGTTGACGCGTTTGGGGTGTATTCGCTATAACAGGTCGAAGATATATCTTGTGTGACGTACTCGCGGTTGTTGCAATTTGCAAGAGTGTTAATACTCGCAAGACCCTTTGCCTTTTTCTTGCAAATCACTATATTTGCATCCATCTACACAAGATTTTCGTCTCCCACACCCACTCGATTTGCATATTACCATGAAAGCATTCAAGAGCTTCGTGAACAAGCGTCGGCAGAGTTTCCAAAACCGCGGCAAAAAAGAGAATGATCCGGCACCGGCACCGGTACCTGCCAATGCCAACGCCAACACCAACACCGAGAATGAGAAGCGCGCAGCCGCTCCGGAAGCCAACGCTGACCAGCAACAATTGATGGCTGAAGCCGCACCTGGCACTCTTCAGTTGGCGCTGCAGAACAAGTCCAATTCCAGCACCGTATACGCGTACATTACCGGCCTTGCTTTGGAACGGAACAACACTCCCCTCTTTGTGAAAGCAGACGGCCAATCCATCTACTATCCAACAGCGCCGAAGGATATCCAGCAACCACTCCAGGCCGACGTCGCCATCCCACTTGGGGCTCCTGGCAACACTGTCAACGTCAGGATCCCAAAGATTGCCGGCGGTCGTATCTGGTTCAGCATTGGTGCAAAGCTTACTTTCCTCCTCAACCCAGGTCCTGCAGTCGTAGAGCCCAGTGTGACCAACCCCAGCGACCCTAACTTCGATATCAATTGGTCTTTCTGCGAGTTCACTTACAATGACGCGCAACTGTTCGCGAATATCAGTTATGTCGACTTTGTCAGCATTCCTGTTGGGCTCAGCTTGACCAACACCCAAGGCAAGACCCAAACAGTGCCAGGTATGGGTGCCGATGGTATGCGGAGAGTCATAGAAGAGCTGCGTGCGCAAGCCCAGCGCGACGGTCGACCTTGGGATAAACTGATCTATGAGCACAACGGACAGCCATTGCGAGTGCTGAGCCCGAACAATCTTCTCGTCGGAAACGCGGATGCATGGGGTAATTACTGGGACGGCTACATCCAGGCGGTTTGGAACAAATACCGCAATGAGGACATGATCATCAACACCCAAGCCGCAGCTGGCAACCTCAAGGGCCGTGTTCAAGGCAACGAGCTTCAACTCGGTCAAGCAGGAAACTTTGCTGCTCCTTCAGCTAGGGATATTTTTACCTGTAGCACGGGGCCATTCGCGACTGGATCGAACCAAGCGCGCAATGCAGTTATCCCCCGCCTGGCTGCTGCTTTCAACCGTAGCATCTTGCTGAACACACCCGGTAACCAGTTCCCGAATGGCAGCAACCCAGGCCAGTACTACAAGGACCCGACGACCAACCACTACTCACGCATCGTTCATCAGGTCCAGAAGGACGGTCGTGGCTATGCCTTCCCGTACGATGACGTTGTTCCGGATGGTGGTCAGGATGTTGCTGGCACAATCTTCGATGGCAGCCCGAAGCTTTTCACTATCGCTGTCGGCGGCTAGTGAGCGTACACTATCGACGCGAAGTGTGATGGGTTGGTGATGTATTTACGATTTGATGAGTGCATATTCTCTCTATGCTTCTGTATATGCTTGTTCATAGACTTTGAATGACGTGGGGATTTGAGAGATGACGGGAGGGTATATAGTTGGCTTCTGGTATATATTTGATGATTAATGGATTTCGCATACTTGCTCTGGTATTCCTTTTCATGAATCGTTGCTTTTAGTGATCACTAGGCAGTGTGCACGTCCCGAGCTCTGCCGTGCCTGTCACATGCCAGCAAGTTGCTAGCGCTTACGTCACTGGTCTGGTCGTTTTAGGGGCGAGTCCGTCCCTGCCAGCTGGCTAGTTCTTCACCTACGAACATAGCGTGAACGCGCGACAGGCCAGATGGAAGTAATCGTTTCGTATCGGATCTCTCGAACACCAGTTATCGTGGACTGATAGTCGCCAAGTTCGAGCGGGAAATGACGTCACCGAGATCGCCAGACAGCCTGCGCGTCGTGTCGACAAAGCACATCTTTCCAGCCGTAGACTTCGACTTTCGTACCCCCAGGCCTTGGCTGCTTGGGTTTTACATTTACACGTTTTTTAGCTCCAATTCGTCTCGTTCCTTACTCTACAACCTGGAACCAATATTTCTTCTGTTCACCGAATACTGGATTTTATGACTGAAGACCTTCGAACTACAATAGCACATCAATGAGAACCGCCCCAAGCCTCTTTATCATCAAAGTACTATGAACAGAAGTAAAGCTGATGTTCCGAATTCACGGTTTGATCAATGTATGATGGGAGAATCCTCTGTGAAGAGACCTGGTTGAGCGTCAAAGGCCGTGCAGGAGCCTTTGACAAGTATCAATCCCAAGAAGGCAACCGTGTGCGCCTTATTTCTTGTCCTCTTTATGGATCTCCTATCAATAAGTAAAGTCCTGGCTCGGACGTACCTTTCTTGGCTGACTTGCTGTGTTCACCACCAACCATGGGGGCGCTGCTTCGATTGGTCTAGTATAAGACATTCTCTAGCTCGAACAGTTGACGTTATGGATACTCAATACCTCTCAAGAGCAATGACAGTATAGAGTACACCCGTGTTTGACCCGATAGAGTACGTCTTATCCCACATCGTCCTTGCAACAAAGCGCCATGAGTAGGGTCGCATTCACTACAGATGCGTCACGCACACACCACAACACGCGAACGGTCAGATGATCTCCAACCACAACGACAAACGACTGTTTGGTACTCTTTTGCTGCACCTACACGCCCCGACTAGTCGTCTTTCTGATTTTCGCCTTTCCAACCTCCGCGAACACGTTGAAACTGCGACCGTAACGAGGACGCATATACTCCGACCGCATCATGAGCTCAGCATCATCCGAAGCTGAAGGACCACAGACACCTGGAGATGTGGAAGGAGATCAACCAGGGCTAGAGATTGATGAACTGGGTCGCATCGGGGTTGCGAACAAGTACGCCACGATTATTGCATCCAGACAGACATACGGCCAGCTCTTGTCGCCGGAACAGAGAAGCCGCATGGAATTGTGGGTCGAGCGTCTGCCTCACGACTGGCATTTTGAGGACGCGAACACAACTTGCCTGATTGCAGTCGCAGTGTACAAAGACTGGCTAGATTGGTCAGAGTGGAAAGCATTCTCCTGGCTCGACAAGCTCACCAAGTTTGAGCGCCGCTTTAGAATTGCTGGGGTTGCGTATCACAAGATTCCGTATGCGCTGCGACATGCCTCAACTGTTACTAATAGCTACCGAATAAACCCTGTCATCTTAGTACGTCTGAGTCAAATCTTCGAGACCGATCGTCCACGTGCTCAGCAGTCATTCTTCCGCCCGTGGATTGAAATTTCCAATGCTGCCAAGGAAGTGTTGGGAAAATTGATAGCGAATAAGAATAACCCGGAAGATATCGATCGGCTTCGCATACTGGAGTCTGGATCCGAAGTTACGCTATCATTGCTAGTAAATTCACTGTCTAACTTGGAATCTGCATTGGCGTGGGTCGAGGAATACGTCGCAGACCTCGCTGATCGCTCCGACATTGATGGAAGCGACAATCTGGCCGCCAAGCATAGCCGTGAAGGAGGTTTGTTTCGGAGATGGATACAAACCTTCCCAGAGGTTGAGTTGGGCACGGTACAATCTCAATCTGAATTCACAGAAGGTTTCGTTGATGCTGTGTCCAGGGATGAGGGTATTATGGAGTACAGATACTAGCGTGCGTTGGCGGAAGCGATGAGAATCTAGTGCTGAGTTTTGCAGCATGAGTTTGTAGGAATGACTAATGATACAGCAACTCATCCAACCCACAAGACTGTGTGAGTTACTATTAAATTCGCATCATGTCTGCGTTCCTATTCCTATAAAGTTCACTATCTCCAGCTTGCGATCGACATTTGCGATAGATTCAGAGGGACATTAGGCGATGAACAAGGCAAGCAAGTACACAGTGTCAACGACGTGCACATTGTTGTTGATGAATTTGCATAACGCTCGTTGTCGCAAGATCATAAGTCGCGTTGATGCGCAATCTCTCTTCGTTGTTCCTAGAACTGCTCAACCGGAAACACCCAATAAGGCCTTCGACCCGATCCATATTGTAACGAGGAATTGACTGGAAACTACCATCATGTGTCGGCAATGTACAACTATAGATCCTGGTTCGGAGGCGTCAGTCTCAATAACCTTTCGCGTCCGCATCCGGGACATTTTGAACCGCATCGATCATCTCCTACGGTGTTGCAACAATCTTGAAGACCGGTATAGAGAGGCAGGTATCGCTTTCCACAAAACCGAACGCGCATGTCGCCTTGCATGCGAACGGAACACCGAGTGGGCAGTTCTTTACGCCAACCTCGAAAAGGCTTTTCTTATTGACAGCTACGAGGATATCTTTGCTCCTCTCAATGACATGGTTGCACGTCTCATGCAACTTCGGACAAAAGTGCAGCATGTTCCATCGGCTGCTACGGCCGGCGAGCTCATGGTTACATTTTGGCATGACTTGGCTCCTCTGGCCGATGCTCTGATATCGGAGTTTGAGACGTTCAAACAGTACATCAGTAAACTTCAGTCGGACGCTTATACCCTACGGTTGTTTAACAAGAAGTATTTTCAGGTGAATGATTTGGGCGTTCATAACGCTTGGTATGATCCTGTGGTGGATATGATCAACAACAAACGAACTGTGCGGAGCCGTGTCGGTGAATTCACGCTGTTTGCTGACTGGGTTCATAGCTTGCCAGAGGCGCAGCGCGCCCTGGAGGTCCAAGCTGGGCATGATGGATTCAATCCTTCTGGAACTCTGTTCGAAGACAGGCTGTTTGCTTATTCGATGGACTTGATCTGGCGCATGAATGAGAGGTTCGTTGTCAATGGTAGATCATAGCAGCTTTGCAGTTGTTGAATGGCAACACGTGTTAACACTACCAATTTGAGATCACGGTGATTCAAACAACGGCACTAGCTAAGGGTGGATCGAGAAGATTCTGCTGCATGCTCAATGGTATCTAAATATGAAAGTAAGTTCTTCGTGATTTGTGTGACAAATGTTGTTTTAACATTTCCGAGGAGAAGCTAGCGGCGTGCTCAAGTCCGCCTCAAGCCATATAAGAGATCACCAAGAATTAGATAATAGATCATTATATAGAACCAAGTATTCGTCCAATGCTTGTTGAAGGTTGGAAGCAGTTTGTTTTGGACCCTTCCTTTTCTGGGCCGCATATGTAGCGGCCTGTGTTGCAATGTATTACTGTGGAATTTGTGGCATTTTCGAATGGCAGAATCCTAGCACAAAATGAATATAGAGGCGATTAGTCTTCTTTTTGCCATGCATCACATCTACGTGTAGGCGAGATCAAGCAAAGATTGGTAGGTAACGAGCAGCTGAAGTACGTATCCAAATAACGACCACGACCTTAGCCACGCCACCAAGAGCCATCGAGGCACAGTATTGAGAATCCGTTGATGTTTCCAGAAGTATTCTTTGACAATCACAATGGAGTAAGAACAGATGGTTGAAGCTAGTCGGAGAGCGTTTTCGTTTCTCAAGGTCTGGCGCATCAAGAGTCTGTATTTCTTGGATCTTGAGTCACATCCAAGGGTTGATTTGAATCATCGTTTTCCTGGTTCCAGTATCCAAGGAAGGTAGGCAACCATTCAGGATGTACGTAGCCCAGACTTTTGACGTTGACATTATACTGGATCGGATGGTGGATGGCGAAGTAGATCCTTGATGCTGCAACTAGTGGTGTGGCGCCGTCGTCCATGACGATGGGGATGGCAGCCTTTGCGAGCGGCACTTCGCCAGGTACTAGTGACGGTTGCGTTCCTAGAGAATAAGCGATGGCATGCTCATGGGGAACCACTCCAGGCTTGGCGGTGCCCCTGTTGCCATAAGAGAAGATCGGACTGTCAGATATCAGCCATGTGAAAACACTGGTTAGGAGTGGGGCTGTGCGTACACAGCGAAGCAGAATTCGCGTTTACGTTTAACGACAATGAATCTCCGGACCTGTGTGTGTGCGTATTCGTTGTATTTGACTTCAGAAAGACTTGTGTTATAGTCGGTGGGGTTCAGCCCGTTAACGGCATTAGCGCCCGCTGTCTCGGTGAAGAGAATAGAAAAGACCTATGAAACTGTGAGTGATCTATACTTGATCTTAGGCGTTCATCACCCACCTTTCCTACTTCAAAAAAACTACTACCTCTGACAAAGAAAGCTACAACAAGTTAGAAGGATGTTGACAAGATAATGGATGGATGCTAACCAGGATCAAGCAGCTCATAGTGGCTGCTAGGTTGTGGATTCTGTAGATTGTAGCTGCCCTGAATAGTTGCGCCCGTTGCGCCTCGGTTGTTTTCATAACTGACCCCGTAACCGGCAGGACCCGCTCCAGATGGTGTGATTGTTAACACACTGTCGGTGCCTGTACTCTCAGGGGCCCAGTCGAAGAATACCCAACCTTGGCCTACTTCTGATTAGCCGACGTGCATAGTAAGGGGCGGCCACAGACCTTCAACATGGTGTTTCCAGTAATAGCGCGAGTAAGTTGCATCCCAGAAAGTGTAAAGGTATCTTTGAAATTGCGGATTCCATTCAGGTTGCGAAAGTGCGGCTGACCGTGTACTGGATAGCACCAATGTGGTCTGATCGGGAGATGGGGCATCGTTGGTGTTCCGCTCAGGCGCCTGAAAATGTTGTGAATCTGTTGACGAAACTTCTTGAGGGGGAGTTTGATCAGTATCTGTTGGTTGCCCAGTGTTTGTTGGTTGCTCCTCAACAGAAAGAGGTTCGGCGGGTTCCAACTGTTCTGGAACTTGTGGAGAGCTAGAGAAGGTCAAGGCCGAATTCGATGACAAATTGATGCGATCGCTTTCTAATTCGATTGCATCGTTGGATTGACCAGAGGTATCAGGAGCAGCGATAGTGGGCAAAGCAAATAGGGCGAGTTGCTCCAGATGGTTTGCGAGGTGGCGTTTGAACACTGTTGGGTTGACAGTCAAATTTCCGTTGAGTATTGGATTGCCTGCAAGAACTTCTCGTTCTTTCAAACGCTCAACCCATTCCGTACAACATGGGCAATCCTTTGCAGGAATCTCATTAAGTGGTTCTCGAGCCAAACTCATCTCCGGTTCCCCCTCAGCATTATCGAGAATCTTGGCATGTCTCTCTTTCAGATGAGCAACATAAGTTTTCTCGCTGTAACTTGTCGCATCCGAACATATGAAGCATTTGTAAACCACGCGATGGCAAGAAATCTCATGCTGGAACCATGCATTTATATCCCCATAGTATGGTGCATCGCAGTTTGGAAACGTGCACACGTAAGGACGGAGATCAGAAAAGATGTGATTTCTCTAGACGCGATCGTTCTTGCACCTTTGTATTCGAAAACAGAAGGGGCAATTAAACTCCCTGCTGCTACCGATGCGCAAGTCGTCAAGCTTTGGGATGCGAAGAGTGGTAGATGCCTCTCCATTACCGTCCACTGAGCGGGAGATCGTCGTGTACGAAACTACATCATCTTCCGAGTCTGGCTCGCCGGCATGAAGTAAACTTGGATCAATTCTTTCGGGAATAAATGTCGTTGCTTTTGTGAACAAAGTTGGGTTGCTCATCGGCTGGTTCGTGGTAGAGACTTGTGGTTCTTCTGTGCGATCTTTTCCGTGTCCGTCTAACTCTCCATGGTGATCACGATTGTAGCTAAGGACCTGCCGCCTGTGGGTTATAGCTCTTCCAAGGCGCTGGCGAAGCCAGATGCGATCATCTGCGGCCAGCTTTCGATGCTTCTCGCCGACATGGGCAATATCGAACTGATTATCAATGTGATAACGTTTTCGGCTAAGAGCTTTGGCGAAGATATCGGAAGACTTTGCTTGGCGTATGAGAGTTGTCGCCCTCAAGAGTCGCGTGATAGTCACTTTGATTTCCTTTTGAAGCTCACATATCTCGCTGATGTCTTGAATATTCTCTTCTCTGCTATCCTCGATAGCACGTGGCAGGCTCTGTGCATCACCGGCAGTAATGCCGAGAAGATCTTCCGCCGCTTCATTCAAGTCACCTAAAAGACTTGAAATATGAGTGAGTACATCTTTGGCCCCACTCAACCGTGACTCGACAGACATAGGCGATTCAGGGCTGTGAAGGCCTCCGATATCCCCAATAAAGAGGTTGAGCCTGTCTAGGTCATCGTTCACCTCGTTCTTCTTGATGAGGTCATCTCTGCAATCTGACTGCGACAATGTGGAGATAACCCTTTGTAGATTCTTGACGCAATCACGGCAGTGGTCTGATATAGAGGGGGTCATGTCAAGTTGGTGGGGAAGCTGACGTAGGAATAGCTGCCAAGATGTCGTGAAGACCTACAGAGGCCTAGATTGATAGCGGTCTGCGGGGGAACCAAAACGCGAAAGAAAATCTCGGGAGTTTGAGATGAGTAGCGCAAAGACTCGGTTAACGTTATGATTCCGGCGACTATCTGCTTAGTTGGTATAGACAATCGATATTGTGGGTGTCGGAAGTGAGACGAGGCTGAATATGGGGCGAAGAAAGCGGGGAAGCGACCTCGAGAACCTCGAAATGTTGTGCTGTCCTCCTTTTGTCTCAGCCGTACACTTTCAGTCCATTTCGCTCTCGCACAATCGAACAGGAGATTCGGTGAGCGCTTAGCTCAGATCGTAATGAGCGGTCTAGAGGTGGCAGGCGTTGTCCTCGGCGCCTTTCCTTTACTTCTAGCCGCCATCGAGCACTGGCACGACATTGCAAACACATATGAGCTATATCGCCGGATACGAAGGAAATACAAAGAATGCCAACACGATATCGAATACGAAAAGATCATCTGCGGACGGAATCTCGAAGCGCTCTTAACCCCAATGTTACAGGACGCAGATGAAGTTGACAGACTCGTAGCGGACCCAGGTGGTCAAGGATGGAGTGATCCGGCTTTACAGGAGCGACTGGAAGAAAGACTACATGGATCATACCATGTGTACCGAGAAATCATTACCAAGATGGAGGACGTTGTGCTCAAGCTCAAAAAAGAGTTGAGTATCGATGAAGGCAGTACACCGAGCAAACTCTCAACGCCAGAACACCAAGGAGATATTCAGGATGGACTTTCAAGCCCCCAAAGATCTGCAAACTCCTCGAGAATTTCTGGTGCAAAGGAGACTTGGAAATATCAGAGGTTTCGGTTCAAGTTCAGCCGCCGAGAAAAAGAAAGGAATGACCTGTTTGATGAACTACACAAGTGTAATAAGCGCTTGGATAAACTCTTAAGCTCTAGCGACAGAGTTTCTTCATCTCGAGATGTAGCGTCCGGATATGTCAAACAAGTTTCGACGATAGACAAAACGTTCGCAAGGATTGCGAGCAGATCTGATCAGCTTTTCAAAGCCTTGAACGATGCTTGGCAGTGTTCGTGCCAGGCACATCACTCTGCCAGTCTGCTACTGGAGCATCGGACACTTGCAGAAGTCTGCTTCGAGATTATCCTCATGTCTATCGCCCCCAATGGATACGAATCTCCTTCGTGGCGCTGGAAACAGCTCAGTTGTGGCCATAAGCCAAGTTGTTCGGTCATCTGGAGGGAAACCGGTGCCACATCATCTGCACAGCTCCCTTGCCGTCCAAAATCATCAACTTTACAGATACCCAGAGTTTCTATAGCGTCACCAGCTCCAAGATACAAGCGAGAGGACCCACTCTTGGAACCAAGCCTACCCAAGATCGTCTTAGACTTGATAACGAATGACAAGATAGAATTGTGTCAGCGTTTAAGTGACAAACACTACGGAGAATGTCTGGCAGTCATTAGCCATAATGATGAGATCTTCCATCTCCCTCCGACAACCCGAGATAGCCAACCTGTTGGAGATGCCCCTACCACGCTCGATTATGTACTCTCCCACAACTCTGAAAATGGTATCTCCCGCGTTCAACGCTACACCATCGCACTTCTTATTGCCTCATCGGTCGGACAGCTTCGTTCTACACTCTGGATGCGGAGTGGACTCTGCAAAGGGAACATCATCTTCTATCCTCGCAAAGACGACGACCAGGTTCTTGTTTACAGTGAACCTTACATCAGGCGTAACTTCTCACGTGCTGACTCTCAGTCGTCCCCTGGCATTTTAATGAATGACTGCAACTTTTATTCTCTCGGTATACTACTTTTGGAGCTCTGCTTTGGTCGTAGACTGGAAGATCATCCTCTACGCAAAAGAAAGCCAGTTGCCAATGACCTTGAGACCAGACACGCGTTGGACCTGGTGGCTGCGATGGAGTGGAAGGAAACTGTAAGAGGAGAAAGTGGAGACTGTTATGCCGCGGCTGTCAATTGGTGCTTCTCAAGCGTGCAAGATGGGGCAAAGGGTTGGAGAGGCGATTTCATCAGAAATGTGATATGGCCGTTAGAGATGTGTATTAAGCACCTCAAAACCCCCATCTCCGTATGACGAGAAGTTGGCTAGAAAGGTTCTTGATGGGCTTGGATTTCAGCATGACTCTCCAGCTTGGCAAACAGTACGTAGTCTCTATATTTCTGTTATGATTATATGAGCGTGATAATGGCTAAGCGCAACTCGAATACGTAAGATAGTGGTGAATAGAACGCTAAAAGAACAGCAGATTCGTATTTGTGCTCGTTGCAAGAACAACATGATAGCAGCAAGCTCTGAAGGCCCAAGCTAGGCTCGGTCATTTCAATTCTTTTGCGTTCCTTTATGACGACAGGCTGTTTGCCTATTTTATGGATCTGCTTTGATGTGCCAACCAGGTATATGCTGCTGATATTGCAGTGTAGCATGCGACACTTCTAAGATGTTCCTGTCACTATCTGCCCCAAACCGATGCATGATTCGCATTCTTGATAAGGGAAACACGTGGCGACAAGATTTGATCAAAAACGATGGACCGTTTCACTCTCGACTTGCCTTTGCATGGCGCTCCTTGCCTAGACAATCCTCGAAGTTCACAATATGTAGAGAACTGCACCGCAAACTGGAGGTAAAGTAATGGATACGTGATGTGATGTTCGATACGTACAATTTAGAAGTGTCTGGGAGATGAAACGTTTGAAAAACTCTAACCGAAAATGTCGTTGATTTAGACCCAGGAGAGACAATAAATGTAATCGTAACGTATCATCTATGCAGATTCAAAGAAAAGGTTGAGACGTATAATTGCAGAGTAAAAGAAAGTTCCGTGAGTTCAATCTGGATCGTCACTGCTGTTGGGCTTCGTATCCTAGTTGGTATCGTGATTGGTTGGATCATAGGTCACCTCTAGACCCTGTCCGGGAGCATCCGTGTTCTCCATCTTCCAGTATCCAGAAAAGGTAGCCATCCAGTCAGAGTGTACGCAGCCGAGGTCTTTGACTTTGACGTTGTACTGGATCGGATGATGGATGCCAAAGTAAATCCTAGAGGCTATCGCCAGCGGCTTCTCGTTCTCAATCATCTCGATCGCAATGGGAAACTTTTTAAGCTCTTCTTCGCCTGGAACTAGTTGTGGACTATAGCCGTACGAGTAAGCAATTGCATGTTCGTCTGGTCTTACGCCTGGCTTTGTAGTAGCGCGATTGTTGTAGGTAAAGACTGGTCTACGAACATTAGCTTGTGTAGAAGCAAGATTAGCAGTGAAGCTTACACAGCGTAACAAAACTCTCTCCTGTGCTTGACGACAATAAACCGTCGTACTTGAGCGTGTGCCAGTTCACCGTATCTTACTCGAGTGAACTGGGATAGACGAGACAAGTCGCCGTTATAGTGAGTCACGTAATTTGCAGCATTCGTGCCGGCGGCTTCGATGAAAAGAATGGCGAACATCTGGAGCGATGGTAAGTACAGGGATTATGGTCCTGTTGAGATGCATATACCCTTCCTTCTCTAAAATAGTCGCTGTGCCTGACTTTGAAGCCTGTCGATGTCAGTTTTGCCCTTCGATGCTGATAGTGCAATGTTTACTTTGGTCCAGCGGCTCGTAAGGCACGGGGTTGCTCGTCGTGTAGGAACCCACAACTGTGGTTCCCTCTCTACTGAACAGATTACTTGGTCCTGCTGGTTGCCCGCCAGTATGAACGACAGAGTCACGGCGGGGATCTATGTACGGTTGCACAGGCACTGGGTGTACGGGCAGCCAGTCGAAGAATACCCAACCCTGTCCTACTCGGTGATTAGCTGATGCGCATGTTAGGGGAGGCATGCACTAACCTTCCACATGATGGGTCCAATAGTATCGGTTGTGCGTCTCATCCCATACTGTATGAAGGTACCTCTGGTACTCATTGCTCCATACTGGTTGTTGCGACATGGCTCGAGAGGTGCCACACAGCACACTTTGCGCAACAAGTCGCGAGTCGTGCCACGCTGCAGTGCAGGGTACTTATGGACAGATAGATGACTGATCATGCAGCAGAGCCGCAAAGAGGGGCGCGCCGCGACACCGCGGTAAGTCGTCTAACGTGATTGTCATGATGTCGACGCGACCCTCCTACAGATGATTGAGTGATACTGTTAGATGCGCTGGCTCCGGAAGACCGGGGCTGCTACAGGCTGGTTATGATTGCATGTGCCGATGCTAGGGCGCTTGTGGTTACGCACTAGCACGGATTCCACCACGGTCCGCCGCCACATTGGATGCTGCTTTGACGGAGACACAACCAATTGGAATGGCTTTTGTACGCCAGCTGCATTCTATCAGCCCCCACCGATCCGACACACAGATCCCAGTATGGAACGGCATCAGCCCGCGGGCGCCGCCTTGTCACACATACTAGATTTATTACGTCCTTGGAGGCCGCTGCCCGTCACTCGCCACTGTGCCTCCTTCCCATCACACTTGATGTGCCAATGTTCACCCTAATGTTCAATGTCCGACGAACCGTCAAATCGCGATGTCAGTCTCATCGATGTCCAGGGTCATTCCAGCTCAGGTACTCCACGAACTCAATTCCTACGCTGACGGCTCTGACCCGATCGTAGTGCTCGCCATAGACGATGTGACAACAAACCCCATAGTAGCTACCTATCAGCCCCATCCAGTCGATACATCTGCGACTTCCTGGGGATATGATCGTGATACTCAGCCTGCTACGGAGTCGGGCGGAAATAATGGTGCCGTGTTCCATAGCCTTATGCCTGATCCTCCTCAGCAAGCAGTGTACTTCCCTCCGCCTCCGCCTCCGCCGCCGCCTCCATTACATCATCCGGGGAATCTCGTGTCTTCACCGCTTGAGGCTCACGATGGGGAGTTTCCAAGTATTAGTGCAACGCCAATTCCGGAGCGGCATCCCTCCACTGAAGCGCTTGCCGATGAATATGAAAAATTGCGAGACTTTGGAGATGAAGTAGTGGGCCTTCGCTTTCGGGTAGCTGCAAAGCGCAAAGAACTCAGAGATGTGAGATTCCAGACAAGCGTCAAGGATGGAAACGTCTTCAGCCTCTTGCGCCAACATTCACTTGCAGATAACACGCCTTTTCCACAAAGCATCCTAGATGCGATGGATGAGGCATCAGCATTAAGGGACAAGCTGGGCTCTCTCGAGACGGAATACGATAGCATCGAAGCAGAATATAATACGCTAGAGTGGTCGCATACTGACAAAGAAACCAAGTTTTTCGAAAAACTTGTTGATAGTGGCTTTGTTGCAAATGGTAAATTTGGGCGGCGCAGTACCTCCATACAACATGATGACGCTTTCGTAACCAAGCTTACCAGCGATCATTTGGATTCTCTAAACAACACAATTCCTGCAGAATTAGAGCAGACTGATGATCCATGTGGGAAATTGATAGAGTTGATGGGTCTCGAGAAAGAGCTCTTTGACCAAGAAAGATTACAGCCTCGAGAGGACAACTTGCTAAACAGTTTTCAATCCTCTATCACTTCTTCAACCGAGAGAACAGAGGAACGGCTGGCAAGAACTCGATTTCGATCACTCCTGTTTGGCAAAATGAAGAGAGTCAACTCTTGGTTGCTGGATATCATCGAAGGGTCGCCGCTACAGAAGGGGCAGCTGAACGCAAGACTTGGCTTCAACACTGAGGATCAAAACGACTGGAGGCATATGAGGGAATCAATAGCTCAAGACGACAAGGCCAACATACCTTTCACTAATAACACACTCGTTTCTTCCCGATCCGTGAGTCAGGATGTCGCCGCAACTTCTTCAAACGTACCACACCCAGGAGATGCTGCGGCTGAGCATGACCGGATCACGTCCAGAGCCTTGGAGTCACAGGTACTGTACGGAGAGGGGCACGAAGCCTCTGTCAATAAAATTGACCGTGGAACTCAATGCAACAGCGACGGAGATCGAACGCGGTTGAATCTTCAGTCAGCACCGAGCACCATTGGCCGCGACTCTTGTTCATCGCAAGCGCAAAGTCGTCGCACATCATACAGCGATGGACTCGTTACAAATAGCGATGCTACATCAGGTCATTCTTGTCCATGTAAAAAATGCACGGGAGCTTCACCGTCGACCATGGAGTCTAGTTCGCCTACTACTCCTACACAGCGGGTTCGAGACGAATGCGATAACGACACCCCTCGCCAGCTGATTGATCTCAATGGAGGGCCTCAAGGGGATACTAGCAGGAATCCAATCCCTCCGTTGAAGCTCCAAAACGGGACTTCGCAGCGGATGACGAAGGAGAAATACCTTGAGCACCTCACTTTACCACCAAGCGACTTCACGGACGAGCTTCCGACTACGCCGCGGCATCAGTCTACCACCACATCATCGTTCTCGAAGAAACCATTATCTACTCACTCAGAGCCTGCAACTCTTTCACCATCCCCCATCATCGAGCCAAATACGCACTCGAGCAACGAATCTGCCCCATCAAACGACTGGTCCACGTCGACATGTCTCGCTATGTAAATTGACTTTTCGTGTCATCTATAGCAACAATCTCGGTCATTGCCTTGTTTTCTATTGTCTCTATAGATATTTGATCCATTTGTCTGATTTTAAAGCGCCTCTGTTTCTATAAATCGAATTTCTTATCGATATGATCGATATCTTGTACAAACAGTTATGCAGGCTTGAAGTACACACATTCTCCTTCGAGGCATATTCTCCATTATTCTTCTTGTCTTGGCCTATCTCAGCCTGTCTCAAGGTCGGACGAATCATCTACTTCAGTTATAGGATAGAAGCTTTTCTGAATAGCATGATGCCTTGCTCAGACCAGCCAGGAATTGCCTCACGACAGCGTGTCTACCGATAGGTTTGAGCCTTCATCATCCAGGATCTGCAGCCCCCGGTAGTACAGTCTGAACCTTGTTGTAAGAGCTGTGTCGCATACCTTGGTGCATTGATCGGAGAAGGCGTATCCAATCACATGTCAGTCGAGGCTGTCTGGGACAATGAGGGGTTTTCCGTCTCACATGTCATGCTAAACAAGCGAAAACTCATCTACGGGGCCTGTGCGGGTAAAAACTTTGTTTTCATGTTTATGGCTGTCCTACGCGTCGGAATGTCGTAACCCATGATGCATGTATGTATTCGAGTGGTTGAGCAAGCATGCCAGTCTTCATAAAAGGGCACCTGACGCACATACAGTCCACAAGCGTCATGCATGTATCAAAGGGCATCGCCGCTACGAGGACAGGGGGCACACGAAAGAGATGTTTTGCAGCCTGCACTACCTTATCATCAGCATACAGACTGCATCAGTACCCCGCATTCTCGATTCTCATTCCAACTGCACAGTGAGGTGGGCGGGAAACTTACGGAATGGAACAATAGAAAGCCAGCAGCTGCTGTCTCCTTTCCATGGCTAATGATAACAACGTAAAGTACTGGGCCACTCATTCCAGCCCGGGAGCGTGGGCCATCCGGTAGGCAGCTATTGGAAGGGTCACCGCGTTTGCCGGAGAAGGCAGCAGAAATGACCACCAGGCGCCACAGGGCCATGAAGCATGTAGCCGGCAATAGATAAAACCAACTGGCTGCAGGGTTGCTAGCAGCGAATGAAAGAAGCGCATCGACACATCCTGCAGCTCAGCTCAGCCTGCTGCGCTCAAACATCCAAAATCTTCGTCTTTCGATGTAGCTGCGACGTTGAAATAAAGTTGCTTCGAAGCGGGCGGCAAAAGGTATTTTTGTCTAGCTAATTCTGCACTCTAAGGTCCTCCAGCGCCTGAGGCAGTTTCCGGTGAGCTACGATGGACGCTTTGGACCGGCTGCATTTCCGCAGGGGATGGCAGCCGAGACTGAACGCGGGTAGAGCGACCAACGCTCGGGCGCATCCGACGCAGCGCGCCATCGCAAAACGGCAAGAGTAAGAGATGGCGTCGCATGCCACACCTGTCTCGCGATTCGTGAGTTTGGGAAAGGAATGTGCATGGGCGCGAGGCGTACGCTGATACGCTCAGAGATCGGCGATGGGAGTGCACGCGTACGTGGCGGTCGCGGATCGGGTCCTTTTCGATGGCTCTGCCGTATTTCAGGCAATTCCGGGCTCACGACCTTCCCAGCACGCCACATCTGTGGCCGCGATCCATTTGCCTACGCGTGTCAAGAATACAAGCGATCCGAAGACGATAAGATCACTTCGCAAGCATCTGTTACCTGCTGACATGACGTTAAACCTTGCTAACCAGCTTTGTGGCCGTCAAATACCCAATGCGTTGATAGAGCCCTTGATGCCATGGGTAGAACTTGGATTGTCTTACACCGTATATCCTGGCGCGTATCGTCGTGACCACCTCCGCAAGAGAAGTGAAAGGCCACAAATCTTCACTCTAGAGTCTATTCCCTTGTTCTTGCTACAGTTTCTGCTCTTCATCACTGAAACCCCCTACTATGTCTCAAGTACACCTTCAGTGCCAAGCCCTCAGGCATGTATTCTGTAGCGATAGCGTGGACGTGTATGGAACCATATGCTTGGGTATAAGATCAAAATACCGCGAACCGTCTATACTCAGCTGCCACGATCTATCGAAATACTCGGCTTTACTGTAGACGGCTGACAAGATGTCTTATCTCATGGTCTGCTTTGACTGAACAGAATGACCCGCCTAGCCGCAGTTGACGTGAAGGATGCAGCAACATTGTCATAAATCATCAGCTACCGGTTCATGCTGGAGAATTGGCACATACTCCATATAACACAAGATGCACTAGCAAAAAATCGCGTCGTGTCCGACCCACTCTTGGCAGAATTCGAGATTCCCGTTGTACCGCACAGTGAGTACACATTCATGACCTAGTCACACTACAAAAGAAAGACAAGAAGCGCGACGCGGTTCAAGTCTGGGATGCGAGTAGACGGAGTGCAAATGACAAGAAAGCGCGAGAGAGACTTTGAGGAGCATCATTCGCCAACTCACCGACGAAGCTTGAGGGACAAGGAGTAGCTCGCGTCAATTTACGATTGACGCGGATGAAGAACAGAAGGACTTGACGCGAATAATACAAAAAGATTGTAAATGTTGTACCAAATGAAGACCGTATTCTAGTGGCACTCGCTGTGGCAAATCTGTACGTCCAAGCAGAACGAATGACTCCTATTGCACTGTGGACTGATGCAGTATACTTGAACCCAACTTGTTCAGTCGTCAACAAATACTCCAGCCACATTTCTTTGTTCTTCGTCAACACTACCTCACCGCGAGCGGAGCTTCCACAGATAAGATGCTAGCCCAAGCTCTTGGATGAACGGTAGTGCTTCCCTACGTCATCGTAGTGTCATAGTGTAATAGAAACGGTAAATTCGGTTGAGCATCGCGAGAGGAGCTGAACCGATAGCAGAGGAAGTTGTAAGAGCTGCTGGCTGACTCAATCAAGTCAAGATTGGGAACATATCCATTGTCCGATCAACTTCGCAAAGAATAAGTGACATGACAAAAAGCATGGCAAAAGTCTTCTTATCATATAACATGTAGACCACGGAGTGAACGACTGTAGAACGCTATGCCAGTACGAACCTGCGGGAAATAACTTTCTTATGATGCAACAATAGAAGCAACTACCCGAAAGAAAATCGCGAGTGCAGAAGAACTACTAATAAAGAAAGAGACGGCTGTGTATGGATGTGTGAACTTGAATGAACAGATTGGATAAATCGAAGAACAGACAATGATCTTGGAGGCCTGCGTATGGTGCAGCCCTACCAAGTAAGATAGCATAGGAAAACCCGAGTGACATAGGGAAGAGTCGTGAAGTTTGCGTATAGTGCAAGACTCTCGGTTCCGTCATTCTGCCTGCATCGCAGCATCAAAGTATTCCTTGATTAGATAACGATGGCCTTCTACCACCATTCCCACGTCGAGAACTTTAACATTGTGCTCAACAGCGTATGCCTTACCGTAGTTGACACGGCTTTCCGGCTCAAGGTATTCACCTTCGGTCGATTGTACTTGGATTGAGTATTTCGTTAGTGCCTCACCTGGAAGCAAGTTGGGTGCGATTATCGTAGTATGAATGACGCCGTGATCACTCATTCTAAGACCCGGTTTTGCAGCGCCGCGACCTCTATAAGTTTGGATTGGGCTAATGAGATCGTCAGACTGATGTAACACAAGACATCTTGTAAGGTCAACGTACATGCACTGACTGAAGTCACCCTTGTTGCGAACGACAACGAATCGGCGTATCTCACTAAAAGCTGTCTCTCCATATTGTACGGTACTGAAGTGTGTTGAGTTCCGAGTCTTGCCAGGATTGACCTGGCCGGCAGGCTCTGTCCAAAGCATCTTGAAGACCTAAGAGCGCTCCGTTAACAGCATGGTTGCGTCAGTCAGTGAGTTGTACTTACCCGGCCACTGACAAAGAACGCCGCACGCGACGGCTGCGCAACTCGCCGATACCCTAGCACACGTAAGCATATGTTGATTTATGAATGTATGACGTAGTTTACTTGTGTCAAGCTGCTCGTGATTGGAGCTTTCGTTGAGATTCGTCTGGATGTATCTTCGATCTTTGCTTTGTATAGTAGATTGTACGTCGACGGGAAGAGAAGTGACTGATCGACGTGGCCCTGGATACTGCGAAAAATGTCCTGTCGCCCCACTTGGTGTCGTTTGATGTGATTGTCTTGGCGAAGAAGGCGTGAAAGGGTAGCTAGTCTGAGCTTGATAATTCTGTTGTAGGTATGGTGAACCTCCTGAAGCAGTTGTGATCGAGGCATGAGCAGAAGGATATGACTGAGGGCTTGGTACACCGTATGGTTCTGTCGTATAATTTGTTCCTCCTTCTGCCCCATCCCTCGAGCTACCTATCCCCGTCCCATAACCATATTGCTGTTGTGGATAGTTGTCTACCTCACCCGTTCTCGTGTCATGACCAGACCCCGTGGATCGATGCAGTTGTCTGCTCGATGATCTCTGATCATTCGACCGAGATGGGTATGTTGCTGCGTTTATATGTGAAGACGAGCCGGAGCTCTGTTGAGGATGCTGCGGTATGAATGGCACCGGTACGTTGACTCCTGTGCGTGGTGTTCTGTCGTTCGATTGAGAACCCTTCTTTTGTATGCATAGTGTTGTACTGACCTCGCAGTATTCTCGTAACTTTGCGCTGTCGCAGGCGGTTGCGGGGTAGCAGGACCCGTCACAGGGCCCGACCAAACAGTATCTAACACTGTAACACCATCGTCTGCCAGATAATATGAGTAGTGACGGTTATGTGGTGCTGACCATGTCCAAGGTCCGTAGCTCGGCATAGCTACATGTTCGCGACCTGGTGAGCGGAAAGTAGCAGAGAAGGGTTGGAGTATGTCTTATGCCAGTGCGGGGCATGTCGGAAAAGAGGAAGAGCCTCGTCGCCGGAAGAGATGCCTCATCTCGATGTGGCGTCTCTGCAGACTCAAGCTTGTGACTGACTTCATATGAAAGTCGGGAGTCGCCAGTGCGCGGCTAGAGCGCTATGTAGACCTCGGGAGAGGACGATGCCCAGGTGGGGCGAGCTACAGCGGGAGCCCCGGCCGTGTCTTCGCTTAACCCTCGTGAAACCAGTTCTACTACAACTCTTAGTTGACCATGTCTTGACCATGCTTTACTGCTTCACTACTTGGATCGCACAAGGTATAACACAAATCATTCCTGGCAGTGTCGCCAAGCGGATCAATTCGTATATGCTACGTTCCGCGAAAGCTCTCAACGACGCGCTGACCGCACAATTGGCATGTCGGCTCGTCACGATGTTGTAGATGTCACCACGGTATACCAGTGAATCATAGAAGAAGGGTACCGGGCTAACATCGGAAGGGTCAGTCAACACGTCCTGGAGAGCCACATGTCCTGATCAAGCGCTCTGATCAAAAGTGCTCTGCCCGTGAAGCGAGCATTGATGCACTTCGTGATGATGAAGCTGACCCCGCTCGCGATGATACACCAATAAGGCCCGCGCCAGAACCTCTAATTTCATGTCCACTTTGCGCACTTAGGAAGGGAATACTGAAGAAAGTGCGCTTTGATGAAGCATGCGGGCCCATGGAAAAAGAAAACCACGGCGAAGACGTGGTGCCTGTTGATTCGGCATTGCGCGACCGCCATGTGGCACAGGAAGTTTACCATGAGAGCTCATTGAAGCCAAAAGGTAGTCAGATCTATCCATCAATCCTACCGTCACTCGCACCTCCACCGCCACCGCCTCCTCCTCCACCACCGCCCCCAACGGATGCGCCCCGGCCTCCTACACTCTTCAACAAGGCTATTGAACAGGATGAATATTTGAACGCAGCGGCCCTTCGACTGTACACTAGCTTCATAGATGAACTCTCAGAGTTCGTCCTACAGCAAGATGAGGTGATAAGAATGCGACTTGCTGTTCAGGAGAGGCGGAAGGAGCTACACAGACTAAGAGAACAAGTTTCCAAATGCGACATGATGCTCATCAACTGCATGCGCGAAAGAGTCAATGGAAGCCTTTCATCGGACGACCGTACAATGCTCCATCTTTTCGAAGCATCACAGGCGGCAAGGGATGAGATCGGGCCTGTCGAATCAGAATACGAACCATTTGAGATCATGTTAGGGTCCAAAGAGCATCAGCTAGTCGAAAATTATGCCAAATTAGAGGGAACCTTCGATCATTTCTTCCGACTCAATACAGCACCGGTGACTAAGCCAAAGGAACCATCTGAAATCGAATATGAGGCTTCGTCGGTGGCCTCTGCTGACAACGAAGATGCTGCTTTTGGAGACACTGAGCACCTGCATGGAGCTCTGATCGGGGAGAATGTTGGTATTGGCCAACTGCCAAAGCATGCTGCACAGCTCATACCAGGCGCACGAAAGCATGGGGTGTCCGGTGGTTCACATAGAAGGACCGTGTCTTTAGGATCCACCGACATACCGAGACCTCGCAGCAGCGGTTTTGCAGATGAGCGGACATCATTCAATCATTCGACAGGCACACTCAATTTCATCGGTATTTGGATCACTGATACCCTGAGTTTGTCCGGGACTGGTGCCATGCTTCAGGAACGACCTGACGATGAATCAGCATTCTCTAGGAGTAATTACATCGACATACCTGACGCACTACCAGATTTTATGGAAAACTACCCCGTCAACCCGGGGCTCGAGGAAGGCAATCCTTTGCTCTTGCTTGGCGAGAGCAACGAGACTCGTAGCATCCTTAGTGACTATCTCGTAAACTTCGAAAGCACACCTGACAGAGTAAACCGCTGGATATTGCACCAGCTTCGGATTTCACCACGGGAGATATACACGCTTCACAGAAACATTGCGGAACACATGGGAGAGCCATTTCACGAAGCTTCATCAGTACTCAAAGCATGGCCGCATGACAGTCTTGGTCACGACAGTTCGTACAATCAAGGATCAGTCGAGTTTGAAGGAAGCTATCAGAACCCACAAGCTCTTGGGTACCATGGAGCATGTCCTCCTGAATGCCGTGATACACACGGCTGGCCAAACAACGAAGCGTGGCTAGTGCATCAGTCATCCACTTTCTCTAATGTAGAATTTACACCGAGTTTGCAACATCAGCATAGATCGGAGTCTATCAAGCTGAAGCAGCATGAACTACTATCAGGCCTTTATGACGAAGACTGACTACGGCCTGGGTATGACGGAACGAGCCAGCATAATCTAAAAAAACTAGAATTTGATATTCAGAGAGCTACTTGGTAGAACCTGTTTCGAAAAGCTCAAAGCCACCTGCAACATAGTCATGATATTTTGGCTTGTTGCAGTACACAATATGTTCTGTATCATATCATTGCCGAGTTACTTGTTAATGCTGCTGGCCGCCGATACTGCTTACCTAGTTTACATGGCTTGTGGCCGAGCCAACGTGGATTCAGATCATCCCAGAATGTTTGTATCTGAGAACGGTTCTCTAGCCACAACATGGGTATCCGTAGCCATGGCCTGGACCTCTACGCATGACTTTGTTGATGTGCATATGTCCTGCAAGCCTCCTGCAAGTGTATCTAGTCATGAGTCATATATGCATTAGTATAGCTCCCTCTCATATTCGTCCACCAATGAATGGCCAATGGCAGAGCCGCGCGCCTTTCGACCGCGCTCAGACCATTTTCTCAATCTGGAAATCACCCATTTATCCTCGTCACCTTATTATGTCTATCTCTTTCGCGATTTTCATCTAACTGTTGGCTACCGCATTCTCAATCTCGGTCACTTCACTATTGGCAATCAGGCTTGAGATGCATTCAGCCGTTCCTTCAGCCGTATCGGATTCGCTCACCGATGTGGAAGACAGCGTACAGCTCATTGGTCTATCCATTCGGACTTATCGCCACTAAATGACATCCAATAACCGACCGGAAAAACACATGTATGACCCAAATCACCTTATTGAAGAGGTGCCTCACTCTCAAGGTTGTTTTTCGTGGAACAAGTCGTCCGCCCATGCTGTGCCGCCAATCGGATGAGAATAAGCAAGTACCTTGCCCTCAGGCTTGCCTGTGGTTTGTCGTCACGAAGGGACGCACCTTCAAATGGAAAAACAAGGCATAAAGGCACATGGTTATCCTTTCTTGAGCGGGGTTGTAGGGCAACAATTGGTAGAATGACAACGGGCAGGACAGTAATGGGCTTACGTATGCTGCAGGATGTAAGTCACACATCGGTTCCCTGCTGTTGGATCGTCTCTGGTCTCCAGCTCTATCATATGGACAGATTTATGGTATGAGTGGGGCAGACTGCACCTCCAGCCTTGTAAGGCGCATGCATTGCTTTGATCTTAGCCTTTGGGGAATCGTTAGAGCGGCGTGTGAGACGGGAGCTAGGCACGCTCTTGCAGTCATGGTGGGTCAAGTGGGGTCGCAGCGGACCGTTGGTACCCACCGATGGTGTCGTGCATAAAAAAGCAAAACAGCGATACTTTGTCGTCTTCTTCTGTCTCTGTTCAGCGAGCAGTGAAGTGGGGGAGTGACAAATGCGAATGCAAAATCGTGCCATCGACCATTTTTTGCCACCAATGCCATTCGGACATCATCTTCAGAGCTCATCTTAAATACGATACTCATCAAGACAGTGTTCGTGAGCTTTAGCAAACTCCTCCCATATTGAGCATACCGCGCGGCTACCCATCATCGATACCGGCTGTGATGTACCCGCCGGGCCTGTACCACCGGCACTTGTCATTCTATCGGGCCGAAAGAATGACAGCCGTTCATTCTTCGGGCTCCGATATGCTGACTTCTAATCAGGAGAGGTCACGAACCTGTAAGCAGACGCCCTGCTGATCACCAACCGCGTGGGACATATCAAGTTCCGCCCGACAGAGTGGTCAAGACGCAGGCTGAGTGCAAGCCCGCACGACGCTTGCCAATAGTGGAGCGTTTGTCCGACCGCCTTTCTCACCCGCTTATCAACATGCTCAAGTCGGAGTTTCAGGTGGTCTCGGATCGAATGGCGTCCCACGCTGATGAGCTGACAGATGCATTGAGCTACTCGACGCTAATATACATGAACCAACCACTACCCGACAAGGAGATCCTAGGAATCGGAAGGTCTTTCCGATGGTGCGGCGCGAAGATGAAAAACGTAGCATTACCGCTGTAATTTGTTAAGTAATACACTATCGAAACAATGATACATGACATGGGTCAACAACGAACGCGGGAAGACTGGCCGAGAGATCATACGGATGACGTCTTGTCACAGAAGCGAGCAGACTTACTACACCACTAGGCGCTTTCACACATGTGTGGTTGGATGGTATTCCCCGATAGAAGGAGAGCTCTTACTCCGCTTGTTCTTAGAGTAGGAAAACAGACTCCGGAACCAAGTCATCGTATTTCTACGGGCTTGAGAGGTGGGCCGAAGATTAGGCGTAATTTGATCTGCTGTCGGGTTCAGAGCACCTTTGATGGCTGTAGCGGGCAGCGGTGTGAGTGGTGCGCAAGGACTTGGTGAATCGGAGTGCGCAGTGATGTCGAGGTTTGGTTTGTTACAAACAATCTTGCCGTAGTGAGAACTGGGGGGAAGCGATGGGTGTAGGTCGACTGATCTGCTTTGATGCGTCCGGTCAAAGTGCCTGTCCATCATCATGACTTCCGTCATCGATGCAGCGTCGTCGTGCTCTTGTGCAGAGAAAGATGTCTTGTTTTGACCATTATGCTCGGTTGCCATATCGCAGCCAGTTTGATGGGTACTTTGGACACTATCTTTCCGTGGTGACATATCTCCAATGGTAAGACAAGTACATTTTGGCTGATGTATGCCCATATCCGATAAGACACCGCCCCTGAGTACGTGCTGTCGCTCATTCAAGCCGTTCTTGATTGAACTCATTATTTGATCTTCATCTCTAGCCTTCATTCGTTTCGTGATGTGATCGCTTGGTGGTAGTGTAGGTGACAGAGGCGCTATAGTTGGAGTATCTTCACAATCTTGTCGTGGTATTCCATGAGACTCCGGAGGTCTCGAGTCCACGGTCGCCAATTTCGGAGGTTGTATGTTACCTTCCAGTTGATGTTGCATCAGGAGAGAAGACGTTATGCTCTGTGTGGAGCTGGCGTCGCAAGACCCAGGCTCGTATGAAACTTTACTTAGGGAAGCTGAATACAGCTCGCTGCTGTCTCTGATCTCACTGAGACTGTCTTTACTCCAGAAGCGCGTCGCTCGAACTCTCCAATCAACTTCAGCTGAGCTGTCTATCCCGTTGTCTTCGAGCGCATTCAAATACAGGCGTTTTTGAACGGCACTTTGCTTGAGGTGCGTCAGAGACCATTCTCGTATCTTGTTTCCTACAGCAGGACTACAACGATTGAACGGAGTTGCCTTCTCGGTCTGTGTTCTCCTCATAGGGGCCGAGAGACTCGATTCAGAGCTGAAGAGGTGCGTGGAATCCGAATATCGCCTGGTCGGGATTGACTCATTCAACGCTAAAACCAGCTCTTCCATTTTGGTTTCCTGTGCTTTCGTTTCTGGGTTGAAGATGCCAAGTAAGACATTTCTGTTGTCGCTCGTAGAGGCCGTTACTTGATCTTCACGAATTTTGTCTTCTTCAGCAAGAAACGCTTCATTTTCACCAGCCCATTCGAAATCGTAACTTTCCCTTTGTGGCAGCTTACCGAACTCCCTTCTTAAGGTCTTTAACTCTTCGATGGCTGGATGTTTTCGGCCTATTAGCGCCAGCAAAGATGCGCTCATGCTGACATGAGGCATAAGAGGCAAAGACGACGTCCAAACATGTGGAGGAGGTGGGGGAGGCGGTAGTTTCGACACTTGACTTGGAGACAATGATCCCACCGGGCAAGGTGGTAGATCATGAATTGGCCGTTTTGACACAGTTTCGGATGTTTGTCCTTGAGGAAAAGCAGGGTTGTTGAGCTGTGGACTCGACAGGACCCTGTTGATATCGAATTGGTAAAATCGATTCTCATGGTTCATAAACATCCATTCTGCACCAGTAAGATCCTCCTCGTCCTGTAGATAGTCCGCCTCTGCTTCCCCAAGACCATCGCGTGCTTCTCTAACCTTATCATATGCTTCGAGGAGAGTAGACGGGAGCTGTTCGCGTTGATTGTTGACGAATTCCCGTACATGGTTCATGAATCTGGCTTCGGCACTACCAGCGTTAACCCGTTTCTGACGAACCTCGCCAGCCGCTGTCTTCACCCTTTCTCGTTGGATCAGCAGCTCCTTCCTGGTAGAAGATAATAAAGTTTGTGTGTTCGACATTTCTCCCAAGTATTGGCGGATGAGAGAGGCTAGCGCGTTGGATTGCCTAGTCGGTCGTTCACCAAACGTAGCTTGATGTGAGGTTTCCATAGCGTTACGATGAGCGACTCATGAGCTTGCATATGTGTAAGGAAAGCTATGGGGATGGCTATTGATATGGAATGTTCCCTTGCATAACTGTGGCGGGAGGGTTTCCTTGTTGAGAAAGAACCCTTAGATCACTCAGCTTATGCCTTCGAAAGCATCAGCTATGTTCTCATACCGAAGTTCGAAGGTAGGCGTACGTGGTCACCATATGGCGTTGCGTGCTACATAAGGGGCAACGCAAGACATGTGTCGGCCATTCGGAGGCTTGAGCACGGAAAGGAGCTGAAGATGTCCAGCCGCTCATCATTTGTACCGTGGGTTGCCATGGAACAAGCAAATCAGAATGCAGCTCGATGTACCCATCCGGCCTGTTAGTGCCACGGCTGATATTATCGGGTTACTGGGTGCGGGATAACACAGACCGTTTTTGATTGGGTTGCCGCGTTTCTCATTTCCATACCGCGGAACCTGTCTAATGTGGAAGCTAGCAGTACACTCGCATACTCATCACGTACACGCTCGATACGCAAGCAAGAGCAGATGAAGCGCATATGCAGGTAAGTGTGGAGGTCGATCAGTTTCTCATGGCGCGCACCACACCATTCTCAAGTCGTCTGGTTAAGACAGCAGAGCCGCATCGCGCGACATGATCCCGGCTCCTACCTCTATAAATTGGGGCTCAGTCACCGATAATGGGGAAAGCGTAATCGACACAATCGCAACGCGTAGACCGACTCTACTGACGTGAGTAACACGAACTGCACGGAGTGTATAACCCTGTCGTATGAAAGCCCTTTGAGCGCCAGCAGTTGTATCCGGTAGTATCGTGCAACATGTCGACCAACAACTGGATATGGAGCGACCAATATCAGGACTATTACTATGTTACATATGACGAGTATAGTAGGTACTGCCACGTTTCAAGTTAGTTTCCCAGTCAAACGAACGTCCATTGATCCAAATAGACAACCCGGTTTACCACTGGCTCAAACAAACCGAAATGCGTCCTAGGCAAGATTCGGGATCACAGCAGAGCCATGCCTCAAACATGGCACAGATGCCTGACCCAGGTATGACGCAGTGACCCAACAAGTTAAACGGGTGTCACTAAAGTGTATCATGCAGCTCCACCGCAATTCCGTTCGTTGACAGGCGCTATCCAAGGCACGCCGCAAACCGGATGGTACGACCTTCTAGACTCGAGTAAGCACATCATGAGACGTCTAGGCGCTTGACTGATTTTACGGCTATCAGGCTACAGGATGAGAACTGGCTCTGAGGCCGAAAGTTTCTTCGTGCTCGGCAGAGTTTTTGCCATGCTGTATTCCGAGACTGCAGGTGAGACTTCACATCCGCATGCCTCCGACCAAGCGTATACCGTCGTGCGCTTCAACGAAAAGGTACATACCAATATCCGGCGATTCGTGGTGCTTCAAAACAACCATGGTTTTGTGTACGCTTGGTAAGGTTTGTTTGAGTATTATGCAGATATCTCGACTGATTCAATCCAGCCCCATTGGCACGTATGCTGGTCGCGGAACCCTCAAGAAAGGCTGCTTCCCCTGGGAACATGCAATCGTTTACCTTTCTGGAACGGATCCGGCAACATGCTATCTTCCTGGAGAGTACGAAGGCGGTATGGTTAAGCATCCCATAGAGATCATACCCGTTGATGCCTCAATAAGACTTCGGCCTGAATCCCGGATCCGTTTTGGGAAGATGTACCCCATCGAAAAGAACGTTAAAGTCAAAGACATCGGCCAGGTTCACCCGAGCCATCTAAGCAAGCTTCTCAAGTATTGGAATGAACGCGACCAGCCCTCGGCAGCACAGTATGCGTATCCTGCTGAGAATGCCAGCGTCCCACAACTCTCTTCGCTTTATTGAATACGTTCGCTGTCGCTCTTTAGTCTTGATTACGAGATTATGAATCTAACGGCCTTTGAAACAACCGCGAGCTCCGAGAGCTGCTATGGAGGGGAGGTGTTACGTTTCCGGGCTATCGTTATCGCGTCTTTTACTACCAAATACGTTATATAACCCAATCAGAGTATGATCTCACCCATGGGCTTGTCTTTTGGGCCCTTGCGCGTCGTGAACCATCGTGACTATTCTGCCGTCTATCAGAAGAGACATTCGCGACTGTCTTCCAGCGGGTTATCCTGCGAAGCGGTATGTAACGAAAGCCGCCGCTCTGCCAGTGGCTGTGTTCGATCGAGATGCAAGTGGGAGATGTATGCGCGGTGTGTCTAGTTACATCGTGGTGGTGGTGGTGGTGGTGGTCGTCGTCGTCGTCGTCGTCGTCGTCGTCGTCGTCGTCGTAGTCAAGATCCAACTTCGGTTTGAATGCGTAGCTTCATATCGCGTTGGTGACACTCACAGAGCGCTAGCTGATAGTGCTCGTGAAGTCGTAGAGTCGTGCAAGCGTGATGGGAGGACGCGCAGCGGGAGGCGACAGCCGGAAAGAGGGAGCTTACCGTGCCCGTTCAGTGGGTCGGCGCACCAAGCCCCGCCCATCAACTCGACCATGTACATCAGATAACGCGAAGTGAGGTCCATTTATTATATTTCGTAAAATTGATGGTAAACCTTCGCAGAGAAACTTATACATGTTTCAACGAAGTAAAAAACTATTTTATCTCTTTCCCTTACCCCTCGCGTTGAATGTCTTCAGCGGGTCAACCTTGCCGTTCCTTCGTACTACCCTCCTACCCTTGCCCTTGTTATATTGTTTCCTCACCTTCGGTATGTTCAGACCCACGAACCCAACATCCTCAGGCTTCTTTCCACCTGGCAGCAAATAGTCCGGGACGTGCTTGAGATGTGGTTGTATCCTTGCGGGGTGGTTCAGGGTCTGATCATGGCGGAGATGTGCGAGCGCTTCGGGGTTTTCTTCAAAGTATCGCGATAGCTTTTGCGACTTGGCCAGCTCCATGTGAATTTCCTTGATCCGAGCCTCGCGGATGGCGATCCTGGTCACCGACTTCAACGCATCTGCGAATCGGTATCTGAACGGTTCTAGGCGCTTCATGTCAAAGTTGTAGTTTTCCAGCTTCTGGCCTTCCTGTTGGTGCTTCTCCACACTCGCTAGTACCTTCTCGTCATGTTCGGACCCAGCAAATGTAGTTGGCTTGTGCTTGCGGTACTTATCCTTGGGGATGATGAACGAGATGGCAGTTCCAGACTTGCCAGCTCGTGCTGTTCGTCCAATACGGTGGAAGTATGACTTGTAGTTTCCAGGAAAGTCGAAGTTGATGATACAGCTGACGTTGAGGAAGTCAATTCCACGTGAAACACCAGAGTCCTTGCTCTCTTTGTCCTTTTTCGCCTTCTTCTTCGGTCGCGATCCTTCATCCTGTATGCCGACAACATCGGTCTCGTCACTCGCAATCAGAATGTTGTACATGTTTGTGTTGAATGACTCAACGATATGCGTGCGAGAAGCCAATGGGAGCTCGGAATTGAGCACGATGGCTTTGACCGCAAATTGTTCCAAGAAGAGCTTGACCCGGTATGACCTGTCCACATCGCCGACGAATATAATTGTCTTGCCTTTGATTAGATTGAGCTTGAACCTAAAGGTTGGTGTACCAGTCAGTATATGTTTCACGTTCTGTTCGTGCGACAGGACTTACATTGCGTAAATCAAGAGGAATTTCTCGTCCTCTGCCACCTTCAGTACGTATTGCTTCACTTTCTGTGAGTCCTTGTCCAGGTCTGCAAGCTTGAGTACAACGGGGTCGGTGCAGAGCAGGCTGCCGAGCGACTCGACATCAGTTGAGAGGGTAGCGGAGAGGACGATCTTCTGGACACCGACAGGTATTTCGCGTGCGATGTTCTCCATGTCCTCAGCGAATCCGTAACCGTTGATCAGGTCACCCTCGTCGACAACAAGTGTCCTGATGTCGCTGACCGATAGGTTCGAGCTGTTGATATTTGTCCATGCTCTGGCAGGTGTCGCGACGATGATCTCTGGCTTGTCGGCAAGGGCTGCCTTTGTAACGACTTCTGACTCCTTGCCCGCGATGTTGCGAACCCGAATCTCTTGTCCGCAGTGTTGTGAAAGCGACTTGGCGACTGTCGCGATTTGCAAGCATAGCTCTCGTGTGGGTGCCAGGATGAGGGATTGGCCCTTCTGCTGCAAGGTCTTGTGCAGGATGGGAAGCAGGTAGGCGCCCGTCTTGCCTGTGCCGGTTCCGGAGCGCGCAAGGATGTCGCGCCCCTCTAGAGCTAACGGTATTGCCTGCGATTGTACTGCCGTCGGTGATGCCCATTTCAGGTCGCGGATTGCTCTCAGTAGACGGGGTTCGAGTTGGAGTTCGGCGAAGGAAGCAGCGATGGGCACTTCAGGGACGGCAGCAGTCGCTGTTTTAGCCTTTTTCTTGTTCTTCGCTTTTTTGGTTGGGGTTACTGTCGTTGTGGCAGCAGTCGCAGTCGCAGTCGCAGTCGCAGTCTCGGCAGGTGTCGAAGGTTCGGGCGAGCTGCGGGGCTCGGATTGCGACTCGTCGCTCCATGTCTCCTCCGGCACGTCGTGCTCGTTGAGTTTGCGCTTCGCCATTGTGTGTGGATATGATGTCAAACTATGACAAGTGTTGCGATGTTGTCTCGTTGAAGTTTGCGTTATCCATAGATTCTCTACAGAACTTCTGAACTTTTTTGACGCTAACGCGGCAGGGACTTGGCAGGACCCACAGCGGAGGAGCACCTGCTGAACTCCGGTCTCGAAGCTCCTTCACCCCCACACGCCCCATCGTGATTGAGCTGTTTATCCATGGCATTTGCTCTGCAGAGATGCCCTCTATGAAGCGCATAGGTACCACATGGGATGCACAGCATTACCATACAGATACAATCTCTCGCCGACTAGATTCTGGCTATGCACTCGCCAGGAAGCCAGCACGAGACGCAAGATGCGAGCAGCATTCTCCGCCATCACTACTTAAGTCCTCGAGCATGACATGCTTGTCTTCCTCCGGCCAGACGTCAACCTACAATTCCAATCAAGCCTTGATTCGTCTTACAGTAATCGTCACACGTAGCCTGCGATCTTATATCAGCTTGTATTTTTCAACACATCACATATACCTACTCTGGGCATGCCCCTTCTCCCCCCATCCTGTACCATCCTCTCCAACGCGTCAACGTACTTCGTGATCTCGTCGCTGCCCAGCTTCTTCAGCGCCTCTGTAACAGCATCGATGGTATCCTGGTCAGGTCCTCTATCGCTCGTACTCATCAAGTCGATACCTGCGGGCGTGTCTGTGAACTCCACTGCTGTCGAATAGCTGGCATAGTACGGAACTTTGTTGATATCGCATCCCCAGACGATAATACTGTACTGGCTAGTAGCGCCCACAAGTATCCCTGTTCCTGCGTAGTCGAGCACAGCCGGGAAGTGAGGGTGAGGTGTATCGACACCATAGGTTGTTATGATGCTGTCATTGCCTGGGAATTGGAATGAGAAGAGATCATTCACAAGTCCGGTAGGGTCTGAGGGATTGATCGGCGTCGGGTCATATTGCACATTCCGCATGGCAGCGTACTGAGGATTCGACGCAAGGATCATCGACCACGGCTTGAAGTAGAAGCCAACGGGTGGCGCCGGCCATGCTCTGCCATGATGGTGGCCATGATCCGTAGTGTTGAAGGTAGGTGGTATGCGAGCCCGCACGCCTTCCGCGCCGAGTTCCCGTGGACATCCATCTTGGGTGGTGTAAGCAAGGGCACGGACCCCAATTGCGAGGAGTATCAAAAGCGACAACATCATACCGGTGGCTATTCAGAAGACTGACGGGGATCGATACCCTTCTATATACTTGGGTACTCCAATATCACATCAGATAATTTACCAGATCAGGAAAGAGGCCTGGAGCAGTTGCTTACGGCGGTCGCACTTCGGCGAGATGGACAAGCTCCGCAGGGGCAAAGACGCCACCATATAACACAAAGCGAGATCCGTACAACCCTGGCGTCCTTTACTACACCTTCCTGGTTGGGCGTCCGGACTGCTTCGACATCGACTGTAATTTCATGACCATACGAGAGCCTCTAGCGTAGGAAGGCACTGACAGCTACAAAGCCACAGATGCACACGCAGACCCAGCCCCAACCGTGATGTTGCCTCCAACAATGGCTGGGACCTTGCTAGAACCGGGAGATGAACTCTTCTCTAGCATCAAGGGGAAAGTTGGAAGTAAGATTCAGAACACCAAATCTCCTTGCCCCAACCACGCACTACAACATCGAAATAAAAAAATAAGAAAAGGTAGAAGGATACAATATAAGGCTGCGAGTACTTCTAAAGTTTTAGATTTTGGAAATTCGTACGTTGTTGCAGTGTTATAAGGGCTACCCACTATCAGCTTGTTTCCAACTTTCTCCTTGGTGCTAGAGACTCTTATACAGACTTCTTGCAACCGAGAGGGTTATGACACCATGAGTAAGCCGGGTGAGGTCGTAACCGTCGATTGTTTTTTTTTTGTGGCGCGGCGCCAGCATACACACCTCCTGCGTTGGATGTCAATGTCATTCGTGTAATGATCGCTCGCAATCGTACCTGTCAATTCTGCACGCTTAGACACGCATGCTAGTGAACTACTCGTGGCACCTCCGGAGTCGAAGACAGGGTCAGCCTATCTCTTGCCTGAGATCGTGTCATCGTTTGCTTGTGTTCTTAACAATGCGTGGAGCTTGAGGGACAACTGATACATACAGGGTGGCCGCAGTTCGAGGCCTTAGCTGCCGCTCCTCAACGGCTAGTGCGAATGGATGATGGTGCATGACTGGAACTGGAGCAGAGTTGTTTTTGTGCGCAAGAGAGGCTGTTGTCGAGTAGCGGTGACAACCAAACTTGATTGGATATCAAATCATGGGGATCGAAACGGAAAGTGGACGTCTCATACTGTGGAAATCGGACAGCGGCTCTGTCTGATGTGAGTATGCTGGCGAAACCGATTGGAAGGAACAGACAAAGGGTCAGGGAACTCGAATCGCAAAGCACGCGAAGCGATACAGTAAAGAGACCGGTACCGTGGCCACATGACTTCAACGAGCAACATAGTCCCAGAAAAGCTTGGGATAAGCCTACTTTCGACAAGATAGATGAATGCTTCCATCTACGAACCTTTGGCTATCCCCAGATTTACCAGGCAGAGTGCGAAAGCCAACAAGAGCCGCAAGCAACACGACAAAAGCTAGTTAATGACTAGGATGCGGAGCGGATGCATGATTGGAAAACATCGGAATCTCACAAAGGTGGTCGCCAAAGTCAGCGAGTTAACGTAGGAAAGTCTTCGGAGGAAGGGCTCCATTGAGGCGACCGAAAACAAGACCATGGAAATGAAAAGTGAATGAGCGGAAGGATAGTTGTTCAGAACAACACCAAGCGATGTAACACTTCGTCGCTTCGTTCATCGAAGCGCAACACAAAAACTACGTCTCTAGTACGATGCGAAAGAAAGCCATCAGCAATCATGGATGCCGCTCGACTTACGCCTTCCCTCGTACTGAAGTGTTCCAGCTCTTCACATTTCCCCTGCGCACGACTTATGGTAAGAGTGGCTGGCATTTGTCGAAGTGATCGAGTAACAGCAACATTACAAAGATGCACGTTGATCATCACCGTGGAGAAAGTTGGGACACAGGGGTCAGCTCCTGCAAGCCGACTTCGGACCCCACCGCCAGCGCTGTCTCATTGGCTACCAAGCCATCGCTTATCTTCAATCTCCTGTTTACCTCATCGAAACCACCAACTCCAACATGCCTCCAATATGACCACCATCTCCACGCCCAGACCCAAGTTTTCCTGCCCAAGCAAATACCCTTACCCGGTCGGCCATTCATAATGCAGCAAGAAAAGTTCCGCTGCACCGTTCGGTCCTGCCCGCCACTACGAGACAAGCGTAATGCATATCCGTTTGCAAGCACATGTTCCTTATCAGCATAGGCGAGCCATCCTGCATTGCCCAGTCGGCTAAGAGCTTCACACTGTCCTACAACAAGACTTCGTCGCTGACACAAGCTTCAAAATTGCGTAGCAGACAAGAAGTTTCTGGGCTTGGCTCTCATTCCACGTTCCCTAGTCTTGCAATGTGCCTATCTTCAGCCAATCATGCGCTAGCTGAATTGTAAAGTGAAAGTAGTTGGTATGTGCGGTTGGAAATGCTCGAGATAGCAGTCTTGGGACCGAGCTGAAGCCGGAAGCTGGGGAATGGTAATCGTGGGGATGCATTGGGGTATAGATACATCGTCTGCCCCGGCGAGATGGTTTGACAGCCAACGCTTTGTTCTGAAGCTTAACCTCGAAGCACGCTCCATCTTTTCACATGGCTGGTGGCGGTACTCCCATCGGGCCTTCGGCCTCACCTCTTGGTCAAGCTTGGGGTTATGGCATCGTATTGGGCGTCGGGTTCCTCTTTGCACTGGGCATGGTATGGGAGGTTTGATTAGTATAAGCATCAAGGGCTGACAATGTCAAGGTCTTCACCACCTGGGTCCTCAAACGCTACAACAATGAGCTGCAAACATCCGAGATGTTCTCGACTGCTGGTCGTACGGTCAAATCTGGTCTTGTCGCATCAGCTGTAGTGTCATCCTGGACATGGGCCGCTACGCTTTTGCAGAGTTCATCGGTTGCTTTCCGCTATGGTATGTTTAGAACTAAATCGCCCCAAGGTGAGATATTGACCCCTCCTAGGTGTCTCTGGACCGCTTTGGTATGCTGCGGGTGCCACTGTTCAGATCTTGTTATTTGCTACCGTTGCAATCGAATTGAAGAGACGAGCTCCTCACGCTCATGTGAGTGCAATACACTTTTCATCCTACTATTATGTCTGACCATGCGATAGACATTCCTCGAAGCTGTACGCGCTCGATATGGAAAGGCCACTCATTTCGTCTACATCACTTTCGGCCTTTTTACCAACATACTCGTTACAGCTATGTTATTGACTGGAGGATCTGCCGTTATCAGCTCTCTGACTGGCGTGCCTACGGCAGCGGCTTGTTTCCTACTTCCTTTGGGTGTCGTGATCTACACGATGTTTGGTGGGATCAAGGCCACCTTCTTGACGGACTATGTCCACACTGTCATTCTTCTTGTAATCCTTCTTACCTTTGCTTTCACCACATACGCCACTGGCGACCGGCTTGGCTCGACAAAAGCGGTCTACGAGCGTCTGCAGGAGCTTTCAGCAACGGCCCCTGTTCCTGGTAACGCTGGAGGAAGTTATCTCACGATGCGAAGCAAGGACGGCGCCATATTCTTTGTGATCAATATTATTGGGAACTTCGGGACAGTCTTCATGGACAACGGATGTGAGTTATTCGCTGCTAGAGGAAACCGAACGCTGACCACTCCAAGACTACAACAAGGCTATTGCTGCATCCCCGGTTCACGCTCTTCCCGGATATATCATTGGCGGATTGTCTTGGTTTGCTATTCCGGTAAGACTCTTGTTAGGTCATACCCAAGTCCGATGCTAATACTATCATCAGTGGCTTTGCGCGACCACCATGGGTCTCGCCGCGCTTGCACTACAGAGCACCGAGTACTTTCCCACATATCCCAACGTCATGGATGAGGCTTCGATCAGTGCCGGTCTCACGCTTCCATATGCTGCAGTTGCGCTTCTCGGATCCGGGGGAGCAGTAGCTACGCTTCTCGTTGTCTTCATGGCCGTCACATCCGCTTTCAGTGCACAGCTCATTGCTGTCTCTAGTATCCTGACATATGACATTTACGCGACCTACATCAACCCAGGCGCAAGTGGCCGACGTCTCGTTTACACGTCACACGTATGCGTGTGCGGCTTTGGACTGGTCATGGCCGCGTTTTCAACGGGACTCTGGTATGCTGGCATTAGCATGGGCTGGCTGTACGTCTTCATGGGCGTAATTATCTCGTCTGCGGTAATCCCGGCAACTCTCACGTTGATGTGGAAAGGTCAGAACAAGTGGGCAGCAACTTTGTCCCCAGTACTGGGCTTGTGCTGCAGCATTATCACTTGGCTTGTCACCACCTCTAAGCTGAATGATGGTGTCATCACCGTTGCTACGTCCGGCGCCAACAACCCCATGCTGGCTGGCAATGTCGTTGCGTTGCTGTCGCCTGTCATTTTCATTCCAGTTTTGACGTTGATATTCGGAGTTGGTGAGTTTATAATCCCCTCGGCTGTGCGCATGCTAACGAAGACAAAGACAACTACGATTGGGTATCAATGAAGAACATCCGCCTTGTGGACGATTCGGATGTCACAGCAGCCGCGCACATGGACCTCGAAGCTGTGCACGGCCGTCATGCTGCCCTCTCACCAGAAGCCGAAGCCGCAGAGCAAGCCAAACTATTCCGCGCCTCCAAGATCGCAAAGATCACCACTGCAACCATGACACTCATCCTGCTCATACTTTGGCCGATGCCGCTTTATGGCTCAGGTTATATCTTCAGCCAATCATTCTTCTCGGGATGGGTCATCGTCGGCATCATCTGGTTGATGTGCAGTACTATGGCTGTAGGTGTGTATCCTCTATGGGAAGGCCGTGAGAGCCTGGCAAGGAACTTTGGTGGCATGTGGCGTGACATCACCGGAAAGGGTGGTCGTCGCGGAGGGCCGGTCACAGTGGTCGAAGGCGAAAAGACGGCTGAATCGGGTACGCACACGCCAAAGGAGGCTGACGCGAAGGCATTGGAGGAGTAAGCGTTACATGTAATGGAAGATCATCCATACCGCTCTGTACTGCTACCAGATTGTTTATACCCTGTTCCTACTCTCATATCCTTTGGGAGTTCAGTCTCTACAACGTTGAGATCTTTGGGAGTCCAGTGTTCCCGGTGCGACAATGGCGGAACGATGAAAGCTGTCCACAATAGGTAAGCGTCCCGCTCGGTGTCTTTCCACGCCTCCTGAACTTTACATCGCCGCAAGCATCGACCCGGTTACTGGTACCTCGTGATATCGATTATGGCTTCGTCTAACGCTTCCAAGATGATTTCGGTGCTTCTTCGCCCAACGATGTGGCCGTTGACCACGTTGTGCAGCGAGCCTCATGCCGCGGACCCTGTACGATGCATGCGGAGACGAACGCCTTCCTATTTCCAGAATGCGGACACCGCTCTAAAAAATACGCTACTGAAGAGCGAAGAACTGCGATTGCAGGAACAATGTTAATTGTCCGGGGTAGAATCCAGGTACCCCGCGACCCCAGTGCTTACCCGGTAATAGCTTCGGGGCATCTGCGCCGAGAGGCAAGGGTGCTCTTGTCTAGCAACGCGCATGTCTGCAGCGATATATAATACCCAGAGAAACTATGAATTTATTTCCATCCTCGCCAAGAATACTCGCGCATCATTGTGTTCAAGATGAGCGCATTCAAGTTACTTGGTCTTGCTGCCCTGGCTGCTGCGGCGCCGGTAGAGGAGCGCGCAAAGAAGCCCAAGAGTTTTCTGAAAGACCTTGGAAACTCAACTTGGGTTATTGGCAACGAAATCTGGAACGTTACACAAAACCGCCAGTATGCTGATAAGTTGTGGTACAAGGGAAAAGATCGCGTCGGAAATGCCGTTGGGCATTATGTTAGCTACAGTACGTGCAAGCAAAGCGCTGGACGGAATGAAGGCATCACGTCGCTAACCAATTTGTAGATGGCGCTGCGTCTGATCTGAACTGGACTTCCGCGGCAATTGTCGATTCTGATACCGACTACATCAATGTCAAGTTTACGGCGAAGGAAGGCGACTTCCATTGGGTAATCTACGACGATCTCCCAGGCGCATACCAGTACTTCGTTAACCACGCCCTGCCTACACTGGGCGAGTTCCGTACTTTGTGGCGCCTCGATAACGTCTCGTTTCCTCGCAGTCACAACAACGTAAAAGACGGTGTACTTCCTGCGTTAGAGGAATATTGTCAAGCTACCAACGTCCAGGATGAAACCTGGCAAAAGGCTGACGGGTCGTACTTGACAAAGTACGACTGGAGCGGCTTCGTCCGAGACCAGACATACTACGGTGTCTATGGTGACGAGGTCGGAAGCTGGTACCTCAACCCTGGAAAGGACTACTACAATGGTGATCATCTCAAGCAAGAGCTCATGGTATGTCCGATTCCGTCCTGCTAGTAGATGATGTCAAACTGACTGATGAAAGACTCATCGTGAATCCCAAACTGGAGACGCAGTTCAGCTGAACATGATCCACGGCACACATTACCAAGCCATTGCGCGCGATTCTTTCGCTGATGGCAAGATCTGGGGCCCATGGCTTTGGTACCTCAACGACGGAAGCAAAGACGATGCTGCAGCTCGCTGGGGGAAGGAAGAAGCAGCCTGGCCTTACAAGTGGTTCGACAACAAGCCCTACCAATCTCGCGGCAAGATGCAGGGCAAGCTCCTCTTGAGTGACGGACGTCCAGCTGCTGGCGCTGCCGTTTTCCTTGGGGATAACCGCAATACTACGGTTTCAACTCTTGATCAAGGGCAGAACTACTACTACACCACTTATGCCGACGAAGACGGCAAGTTTGACATCCACGACATCCGCACCGGCACATATGCGCTCTACGCTTGGGGCAACGGCGGCGCAATTGGCGATGTTACAACAAACTTTACACAAAACGATGTCGAGATCCGCGAGGGCAAGAACACAAATCTCAAGGAATTGACCTGGAAGGTTACCGACAGTAAGAAGCGCATCTTCCAGATTGGCGACTTCGACCGTACGACTGACGGGTTCAAACTTGCCGATCCGGCTCACCCATTCGAACACGGTCGCATCTCCAAATGCCCAGGAAACCTTACCTACACCGTCGGTACCAGCTCTGCTCTTGACTGGTGCTTTGGTCAATCTGCACTCGGCACCTGGTCTGTTCTCTTCCCATCCAAGAGCACATCCGCCGCTAAATTGACGGTATCCCTCGCGGGTTTCTCACAAGGCTCGAGCTGCGACATTCTGCTCAACGATGTCAAAGTGGGAAACATCACGAGCGCTAGTCTATTGAACAGCCAAGACACGTATCGTGGTGCCACACGAGCGGGCGAGTGGAGATTGCTCGAATTCCCGATCGCGGATGGAGCGTTGAAGAGCGAGGGTAACCGCCTAGACATCAAGGTTACTAGGACTACGCAATGGAGAGGGTGGCTCTGGGATAGCTTGGTCTTAGATCAGGCATAGATAGCATAATGAATAATATGCAACATATATGCTACCACTGCGTTTAATTCAATTCAAACTGACCTCAATTTATGAATGTGCAGGCTCAATAAATGTACAGACTATGCGCGTTTTGGAAGTACAATACAAGGACCGTTGCCCTAGAAATCAGGCCTCCAGCAGACCCAAAGGCACATTCTCCATTCTCGTTCTGGCAATATGATCTCAGTGACGAGGCCGCCAGATTTCCTTGTTCTGCGCGGTCGCCGACGTATGTGGCTTGGATAGGCTAGCGTTGTTCTGGGCGCAGACGTCATACGCTCGCCAGATTCAGAAAGAGCACGGGTGTGACGCCCCATTTCGCTAAATACTTCGAAATTACTAACAACACCTTGATTACAAAGTGAAATCGGTCATGCTAATCCATATATCTAGCAGCCAGCTCTGCTGTGACGAGCTGTGCTGTCTTCTTCCTCGAGACCCGCCCTAAGGGCTCATGACTCAATGAAAAAGATACTGGGAGTTAAATCCCAGTAGGGACCTGCCAATCGACGACAAGAGTCGTGTAGTTTGGTGCTTGGTCTGTAAAGTGTGAGAGTATCGCTGCTGATGCTAGCGCACACTTGGAGTTGTCGAGATGTTGAAGTCTCGCCCAGTCACACATACAGAGTGATTGAACACGAAACAGTCTAGAATACCTACGGCGACATAGGATTCTTCACCGAGGACTTTTTACGGCCACGCGATGCTCGGCAGTCTTGAAATCGAACGGACCAACATGGATCAACGTACCTAGTCAAGTGCCGCGGTTCGAAAAACACATTCGCGTCTTAGGTTTGTGACAACCTCAGACGATCCTTGTGTTTTTCTGTCGTCGATAGGAGAGCCTCTTACATCTATGCCATATATCATGGGCCATTTGACCTGTCAGAAGTCCTCCGAAGAGAACATCTTATCGCAGATATCTTCCGCACTCATAACCCGAAAGGGCACACTGGCGGCGAGTCGAATCGGAAGTGGAATCGAACCACTATCGTTGTGATTTGTAATAAGGCCACCAAGAAGACAGCTGGGGCAGCCGGTCTCTTTGCGATGCTCAACTTGACATACATGCAGAGATTGCATCCTACCTGAACCAGACGACGGACCCTAAAGCATGAAGCCAATCGATCTGCCTGGGCACCCCTCTATCTCCGAGAGATTCAGTGAGGTGTCGGAGTCAGAGGTGATTGTGTTGCAAGACCACTGAATTCTCCGATCTATGCTGCCGCAACACGTACGGTCTCCTTGATGACTTCGATATCTTGTTAGGGAAGGCATCACTTTCCCAATCTCAGCATAGACCCTGCAGAACCTCCACCCAAGAAGGCTGGAAGCCAGCCGACCGATAGTTCGAGCTAGCGGTCGCTGTGGGGGTCCAGCAAACCTGTTGGATTCACTCAGTCGCGTTCGCCAATCGACTAGTATTCTCGGTTCTGTAAAAGTGCGAACGCATGGGCGCGCCAGAACCCAACAATCTGTACGTGTAGCATGTCAGATTGAGTTGTAGTTGATAGACGGTGAACTGTACGTTACCTGGATAACAGAAGTAGAAGTGTCGGGGAATATAGTCGATCGAGCGGCGGTGCGAATTGAGATACCAAAGGCTGCGAAGCGCACCGCACCTAGCGGTTTGAGTGCGAATTCAGAGAACGGAAGAGAGACAAGGTGGAGAAGCGACGTGCGATAAATAATGAACGACGCTAGACCTGAGCTTGGGCCGAGCAAAGTTTTGATGGTGAATGGTGAACTTGCGGGTCATACGACCAAGCTGTTTCGTCATTATTTAGGCTACAGCGTTGCATTTGACACTTTCACTATGGTGAAAGCTTAGCTCGGCAAGTAACAGAGAAAATATGCTCGTTGGGTGTACATGTTCTTATGAACTATCACGCCTTCCGACAAAAAAGATTGAGATATCCGACGGGAATCATCCCCTTACCGACCTCGATTTGATGTAAACAAGCCTGCAAATATACGAGAGCTCATCAACGAAGACTTCCCGCTAATAAAGGGCCTGTAGACTATCCTTGATAAGCCATTAGCGGTCCGATGCGTTTCCATCCACCTCCTTTCATTTCCATCTACGCGCCCCTTGACGCAACAGGCCGTAAAGAAAAGGTGGGCTAGAAAGAGAAAAACGCGAATCAAAACTCAAAAAGTTGTTGAAGAAGAACAATGCGACTGAAATCGAGGTTGATAAGACTTACTCGCAGAAGAAGCGTAAGGAAGTTCTGGAAGCTAAGATTATTAGCGATATCAAGTAGAAGAAGTGCAAGATTGTCGCTGACTCTGCATTAGCGGGTAAGGTTGACAAGCTAAGCGGATTTCTAAGGTCTCCTGGTGGAGTTGTCGAGTTGCCTCCCTGCTCTCCAGGCTTATTGCAGAGTATATCCTCATGTACAGTCGCGGACAGATTGATCGGCCTTTAGCAAATAATCCAACATGACTCCATGAACGGACTGAACTTATGATTCTCCCCAGTCTTGACCAGCTACCTCTACAATCCGACAGTAAAAGCTCACAGCCATACAAACACGAAGCACATCTCACGAGGCGAAAGATCAGTTCGAGTGACTCAGTATCATTCCTATAGTCCCTTGCTCCCAGTGTGATGCAAGTATCTTTCCAGTCCCTACTATGCCATACCATGCCATGCCTAACCTATGCACCCACCCTAGCCGCTATTGAACAAACAGAAGTTCAATCAAAACGAAAAAACAAGGCTAAATTATGGATACATGGAAGAAAGATCAAAGCGAGTGTAATTGGATGCACAAAAAGCAATCCACCTCCAAGCGTAGAACCAGAAACGCGCTAAAAAGGTTTGAGGGGACGGAGGCCGAGTCCACCTGAAGTTTGAAAATGCAGAAAATTTCATGATACAAACACCATCGCTGAAGCGCAAGGTTGAGAACGCTTGTTTAAAAGGATTCGCTATGAGAGCACGCGAAGGGCCGGTTCAGATGAGGCGGTGTGGTAGTTTGCAGATCGAAAAAGAAATTCGTGAACGGCTGTGGAGCCGAAAGAAAGGCATCGCGTTTGCTGATGTCGCAGATGCCGGGCCGGACAAGTCTATGGTGTCGTGAACTCGTGTTTAGTGGGTATCAGTTTCTTTTGGGCGATGTTGCTGGGGCCGCACGTTTGTGCAGACCCCTCTGGTTCTGGAACGTTGTGTTACAAAAATGAACAGTATGCTATCAGGGACTCCAGAACGATAAGGCTCTACGGTCGTATCGTCCCCGTGGTTTTGTTGATACATATGATATATTCCTCCTCTTTTCTTTGCTCTCTACGTTGTCGAGTTCCTTTTTGCGCTCGATATCCGGGTCGTAGTAATGGGACGCTGTGACGGGGACCTTGAATTCCTGCGTACTGAGAGGTAGTGTGTACTTGAAGTTGCCTCTCACGATCAACTCGAAAGGATATTGCAAGACTTCCTCCCAGCGCTCGCTGCCTCCGGCTTCTGTTTTGTTTCCTGGATGCAATAGTCGGATCTCGCCAATAGATTCGGCGCGTTTCCGCTGGAAAAAGGAACCTTCAAAGTTTAGTGGTGAGTCGAAGTGGGCAATGCGGCCTAGAAGCATGGTCCGAGGTTCGCCCTCGATGGGATCGGTCCCTTCATCTACGCCAGCAATCGAGATCTCTGTAGTTGCTTCTTCTTCGATGGGTGTCCAGTGTTCTACGTCGTCGTGTGGACCGTTCCCGTGCTCGCGCCACCAAGCATCGGACCCAACGTGCTTGCTCTTAGCAAACAGCGAGACCTCCATATCAGAGACAGTAACGCCGATGATATTGGGGTTTACCGCGTTGACTATGAGATCCAGCATAACCTCCTCTTGACTCGCTACAACATTCTGTATGTCTCGCACCACGAGACTAGTGAGAGGCTTCGTGGTAGCAAAAACAAGTCCAATAGCGCAGAACACAACGACGAGCAGCAGAATCGTAAGGACGAGGCAGCCAGCGAAACGGCGACACCATCCACCATCGCGATGGTGCCGGCGCTCTAGTTGGCGTATGGTGGTGGTATTGCGCTGGCGGGAGGTTCGGGTAGAACGCGGACTTCGTCCAGATTGAATCAGCGGTGTGCGCTCATCATCGGCAATGTTTTCGGCGTCGATATCGTATGCTGCAGAATATTCTCCGCTCTTCTTGCTGCCATTGCTATGACCGTTCCCAACATTGAACGTGTGGAAGCGAGGGCTGTTGGGTTGCGACGCATTTCTTGATGACGGGCCACGTGCACGTGAAGACTGTGGTACCGATGTGTCACTCTCCATAGCAAGGTGGCTGAGTGCGCCGCGACCCTGGCCATGTCGTCCAATGTGGTGATGATGACTACCTCCACCCGCTCGCCCGGAGCCTATCCGGATGGTACCCTCGCCTCGATCATCGCCGTCAATGCTCGGGTTGTTGTACGGGTTGGTGAACTTTATGCTGCTCTTCTTGCTTGGGTGCTTGTGTGTGTCGCGTATTTGGAGTCGTGGGTCCGTGAGGCTGGCTAGCGACGTCATGCTTGGCGTTCGCGAGTGATGTTGGCGGCTGCGGTGCGGCTGTTCGGGGGGGTTCGACTCATAGATGAAGGTCGCATCGGAGTCAGAGGAGTCGGCCTCATCAACCGCGCTGGCCACCTTTTGTTCGAATACATCGGCTTTGGATGAAGCTGTGCGGGTACTTGTGTTAGTGCTTGAATAAAAATATTTGAGAGGGGGGCGAAGAGGAGCCATGCGAAGCTCTGAACTTGGGGGCGACATGGTCAATAACGAGCGCCGGTCGTCATACGAACGGTATGAGACGGGGCTGCCGAATGACGGGTTCATGCTTGAGCGAGACCTGGGGTCCGGCCGGCTCGGGGTGTAATAGTGGTACGAAATGTGTTGCAACCTACCAGTGCCTGCATTGATGGACGGGGCTTTGCGCTTGGGGGCTTTCCTTTCCTTCTTGGGTCGAATCGTCTCGTTGCTGGCCTTGAGTCGTAC